TCACCCTGGGGAAGACCCCGCCCACTTTTGATTTCCCTCCTGCGTTAGAGCCCTTCGCCGTTTTCGCGCTTTCATGTGTGGATTTTCGAATTCAGCATAGCGAATAGGCCCAGTAAGCACAAAATCTCAAAATCGACTTTTTGCCCGGACACTGCCTTTAATCAACAAAAGAGGTGAGAGGAGGTATGCTGCGAGCTGCCAATTTCCCGCGCGCCGCAGCTTGCTGTAAAGTTGGAAAGGATCCAAAAAGGCACGTCCAAGGTGGTGTGATTGCACCAGTCGGGACAGTCGTCGTTGGACATCCCTCTAAGACTAAAAGGTCGGTCATTACAAAGACTAGCATAACTATATATGACTATAAGTAGATAACTCCCGTAATATTTCCTTCTTCCAATGCTCAAACTCTCGCTTAAAAACTTTCATAACTTCTTACCTAAAGGCGCTCGCAGATAGAGGACAGATTTGGAACCAGCGTTGGATGCCCTCCAAGAATATATGCATCTTATTTGAAAAGGCCACTTTGGCCAAGGATCGTTCCTTACCAGAAATTTCTCAAAATTGGCTGTGTAGACTTTTCCCGCATTGAAAATGGGAATAGTCCATTAACACGTTTCGGACCGCGAAATCGCGCGCGGCGAAAAAAGTGCACTTTCAGCCATTAGCCAACAAAGTGACCTTATTTCGTAGACTGTGTGTTACATCTGTAATCAGGTTGTCAGATAAGTTCCATACTCAAAGTTCTGAGTGGATTCGAAGTGTTTGAATTTTGTCGATTGTGAAGGACTTCTGTGCTTTCCTGAAAGATAGGAACAAGAACTCTGTTTCTAACATTATCCAAAAGTATCTATGTTGTAGACGGTACAAGTCAGTATTGAGACTACGGTTTTTTTTCTTTGATATCGAAGCAAAAGAAAGTTGCGACGTCGCACGCGTCCTTCGCGTTGCCGCACTTCGTTGCAATTGTTGTTCGATTTGTGCTCATATCTCCTAAACAAATCTCGGCGGCGCGACTCTACAGAGCCATTGAAAAGTAGAAGCTTAGGCTTTTGACTTGATAATCTTGGACTAAAAGAAAACCTCTTGTAAACTTCAAAAAGATCCTTCAAAAAAGCGTGCTGCACCATGTGCAGCACCGGTCCGAAACGTGTTAAGCAATTTTCTTAGCAAGTCGGACCGACCAAGCTGGACAAATTCGTTTCTAAGTGGCCTTTTTGTAATTTGGTGTAAGACAATAGTTTCTTGGCGACAAATCGCTGCCATAATTTCCAATATCTATGGAACTCTTACAGGTAAAACATTCGAGAATCGTCAGTCAGTCAGCTTCTACTGCAATGAAGTGGTTTGCTCTTATTCTGCTACTTATTCAGGTTATCTCACAATTCAACAACACCTTTGATTCGTCACACAGTAACGATTCAACCTGTTTTCTTTCAGGCAAAATGGATTTCGTCCTGCATTTTCGACTGTTGAAAAGTGCTGTTCTCGAAGATTTTATGGTCAGCAACATCAATGAGTGCTTTGCTGCGTGTTACGAGGACGCGAAATGCATTGGAACCAGCATTGGAAGGTAAGAAATGTTTATACTATTCAACATCGCAAAGGTTCTAGCTGTTAGGCATTTTTGCAGGCATTGAATCTGATTGAAAGTTCCTATAGAAAGTATAACTCACAGCCTTTCTTTTACAAATATGACTGGCACTATTTGTGTTTGTCTCCATGGCTAAGAGTAGCTTCGACTGTTCGTAAATCAACATTGTGACTTGACGCAGATGACTTTTGTGATATTGAGCACTCACAGCGCAATACAGTATGCAGCGATTACAGTAGGCGTTTTGTCCCAAATAGCATGCTAATCATTGAAAAATTTGATTTTAAGAGGAAAACTCGATAGGTTTAACATTCTTTCGTCTTTGATCCACTCCTTCCAACAAAGTCTGAACAAAAGTTTTGAGGCAGAAGAGAACCGTTGCGCATTCCTGTGCTTGAGTGGCTTGCACCCTCTTTGAATTATTCATAAAATCAACTAGCCGACCTTGAGCTGTTAAGCATCTGTTAAGCAAATGATTTTCACTCTGCGCTAAGGAGGATGTTTTCTAAACTACTACTCCTTTTTAGCTGAATGAGGAAGTCAGCGATTGTAAGTAAAAAAACAAATTCTCCATTATTACATTGCAGAACTCAAAGGCGTGCGGCTTGTTAACCGCTGGAAATAGTCTACACGCTACTGTGGATGATGGCAGTGCCGTTGTCTAAGCCTTCTCGTGACTATGTGGATCCGATGTGCCAAACATTCGGGAATGTTTGCGGAAAAAGCTAAACACATGTCATCATTTTTTGAAGCGTTTTCTGCAGCATGGTTATTGAAATAACAGTTGCACATTGTTAGTAAATGTAATCATGGCTTACGCAGCTATTCACAAAAGCAAGAGCATTGGGGGTAAAAAGAGCTATGCGCACTTTGCAGAAATTTCAAAGAAAAACACTTTTATCGTTTTCTCCTGTATTGACTTCAGAATGAGGAATAAATAAGGTTGAAAATTTATTTAAGGACCAAACTGTTAGCCAACATTTTGCGTATTTGTTAAAAGTAGTTGGACTTAGCTGTTGATGACCCTACAAGTTTCAAAGCCAGAATGCAAATGATTTTCAAAATCGAAATGTTTTGCAAAACACGAAAGTAAGAATACTAACTTGAGTTCTTGAAGTTTGAGGCCTCACTTTACTTTAATCTAAAAACTATCTCTATCCAATTCCCATTATTAATGATCGCATGTGTAGAAGCCACAAGTTTGAAAACTTCCATAACTTTATACTCTGACTAGTTTAAAAGGAACTGATGGCCTTTTTACATTGTTGAAAGACTGTAAAAATAATTACAGCAAAGGAAAAAATGAAAAAAATCTACTTCTTTGAATAAATCCGTTCATTACTTTTATAGTATTTTCGGTGTAACTTATTATTTCTTTCCAATTTGATAAAAGTAAGCTAAAGTAAAATATCATTAAATGGTATAAGGGAGCAAAGGTTTGATTAATAAAAATTCAAAGATTGATTTTGGATTAAATTTTCCGTTATGTATATGCTCAGTGCAAGAGATGGACAGATTCAAGCTGAAAATCATTTTGAATAGAAAGCATACCGTAAGTTTATTTTCATGTGCCGTCGATTATTCGTATCTTGATACGCGTACTGCACAGCGAACTCTGACAAACTCCAAGATTAGAAGCTGCTCATTGTCAATGATTTCTCCTTGTTTGTCTGTCTGTTTTTGTTTTTGTTGGATATATGTCAGTGAGCAGAACACGAATTCAAGGTTCGTTAGGCTAGAAAAGGTTCTACTGAAAAGTAACTAGTAAGGGTGCCGTTGCTTGCCATGCAAAGTGTGCACCTTCACATATTAAGTTACAAATGACTCGAAACTACATGCACGCTTTCGATTAGCAATACGATTGGCATGCAAAACCACGATCTTGCTCATCTTCAAAAATCCTGTTTTTCGAGTTGTAACTGAATATCGGTTGCAGCGCACACATAACAACATGACTAAGAATCTGGACTATAAACGGACATGGACTGGGAGAAACATAGTGCAAAGTATTGCAGAAAAATTACATGATCAAAGATTGTGGCAAACCTTTTTCTGAGAATTTCCCACTAAATGTCTCGTTTGCAACGCACAGATAACGGTATGGCACTAAATCTGTTGTGTGACGCGCAATTGGAGCAAGGAACAAGGGATGAAAAATTATGGAAAACCTTATGTGAATAAAGATGCCTAAAGGCAGAGTCCGGACAGAAACCTCGATTTCCAGCAATTCCACTTGCCAAGGGCTATTCGCAACGTTGTCTGAGTATACACATTAGAAGGGGTAAAGGGCAAGAACATGCTTTTTCAAAGCTTTACAATTTAAAATTCGACGCCCCTCCCTCCAAGGCTGAGACGCAGAGTCTATGCAGGACGTTACGATTTTGACTGTGGCGGCATACGTACTCTGCCGCTTAGCAGGAATTCAAACAGCTTGGAGGACCCCGCCCCAAGGCGTAAGTTTCACCACTTCCCGGTCGTTTTAGCGGGAGGGGGGGGGGCTATCGGATGGCACTGAATTCCCAAAACCCCCATGCCCGGAAACTAAAATTAGTGGGCGATTGTCCACCTAATGTCCATCTGAGATGGGCAAGACTTCGAATTCACATAAGTCATTTTTCAAGTATCTATATACAGGGTGTCCCAAAAGTAAGTACACACTTTTCAATCGTTAATATCTCTCTTTCCAATGGGTACTTTTTTTCCAGTCAGGTACCATTCTATAGAGGAGGCTTCAACTTAGATTTACAGTATCGAGCGAATCACCGGTCTTTCTCCATTACTGTAGGATTACGGTAAAAACTTCCAGCATGCAAAACCATTGTGAAATATGACATCCGACAATATTTTTTCAAAAAATCTGAAAAATCGTGTACTAGGGTTTTCGCGCACGCTGTTTCCACTACACAACTTTTTACGAGTGTTTTCAGCTTTTTCGACGGTGTAATCACATTTCTGACAATTACTGCGAATTCAGTTATTACGGTTTACCTGGGATAACTTTGGAAAGGAGCATCACAGTAAAGTGAAAGTTTCATATTCGAAATCAGCGGCTTGTTAGTATAAGAGTTTTTGGCTTGTTTTATTTTGTTCCGAGGCAGTATATGGCTTCCAATGGCCTAAAATCCTTGCCGAAGTTCCTACAGTAATCATATAGTAATGGAGAGCGATGGTGATTCGCTCCATACTGTAAGTCTAAGTTAAAGCCTCCTCTACAGAATGGTACTCAAATGGCGGAAAAAGACACAATGGGAAGAGAGATAATAACGATTGAAGAGTGTGTACTTACTTTTGGGACACCCTGTATAATGTTATGTACAACTCACCACAGCACACATATTTGTTTAGAAGATGCAGTTCCGGCCTAATTTGTTTGATTGTCACATATAGACTTTTTCTGTACTTTTAAACATGCTTTGAGGACAGTTTTTGACGAATAAAGCAGCAAGTGCAACACTAGAAATGGCAATCACTAGTCAGATATAAAATTCTCTCAGACTGGCTGTACTCATTTCATTTATTTTTCAGCAGTGCAAAACAACCATTCAGTTCTATGCTAAGTAGCGACGAGGGCATGCTTGCTCCCACGTTTGTGATGCCGAAACCTTGAATACTTAACTACAAAATACGAAGAAACCAAGCTGTTTTCGAACCTTTTTTTCCTTGATCCACTCCAAAATTTTCGGTTGACATATTCTTTTCAGTCTTTTGCTTAGTCTTACTCTTTTGCTTCTTCTTCCTTTCTTGCATTCTTCCATTATTTTCTAAAATTTGAGTTATCGCTCCTCAAAATACAAAACTTCAGCAAGATAAACTAACCTCGATCGCAATCTTTGCATTCGGTGATTTCCGCAAAAAGTCTGGACAAATGTCTTTCGTCCAAATATCCTCGAAAGAGTATTCATAGCATGTGACTACGGCAATGTCCAGAAGCAGAGAAGCAAGAAGCAACTTCATAATGCAGTTCTTCTATCTTAACAGAGCGTTTAGGTCTGCTATGCTGGTGTATGTAAAAATGTGCTTCATTTAATGGAGCAAGCCGTGATAGTTTCACATATTTAGCTAAGAAAGAAGGGATTTATGCTGTGAATAATATTTCCGTTTTCAATCAGAGAATTAAGGCAACAGAAGATAAACCGATTGCACTACTTAGGAATTTCATTGCTCATCAACAGAATAAAGATTCCAGTGATGTGTACAGTCCTACTCTGCAAGCATCTTACAAGCCACACTTGCGATGTTTTTAGGCAATCAATAACTCCAAAGATTTTTCAAAAAAACTTCTACTGGTAAAAGGATGGCGGTCTAAAGTCAAAATTTGAGCATGATTGGACGACGTTCAAATGTTTTTTGTAGATAGGTTTTATACCAAAAGCTAATATACTATATGAAATCCCTTTATGAGCGCTTCAATCTTACCGCAAAGAAAGCTCACAAAAGATCAAATGGATAAGTAGATGGGATGGGCAACCGGCGTTTGCTGGTGGTTCATGTCTCTACGATTTAATTCAAAGAAATTGACGAAAAAACACATTTTAAGCAAGAATGAAGCATTTATCAAAGGCGATGTTATAAGGGCACGCACGAGATTATTCATAATAAAAGATGGTCACACTTGTGCTTTCTTAAGGTGAATCTCCACGCTTCTATGATTCAGCATTTGATAAGCGACCGAATAGCGGCCTAGAAATTGATCGCAAAAGGTGCAGGCACAATTTTTTCGAGTAGAAAAAGAAGAATTTTTCTCATTGAGAGATCATTGTATGTGTCATAACTACCTAGTTGAGAAATGAAAGACTTATTCATTACTATTCGCAAGGCTCATGCAGATTTACAACTGAGGTAGAAGGGGTTCCTGCAGTCCCTTTGCAAACTGTTACCGCGATGACATTGCAGAGCGGTAAAATTGTTTATTTATTTATTTATTTATTTATTTATTTCATCGGGTCAATCTATGCCAACAACAACACAAAATAGTATGAATGACAAACCAAAAAGGGAACAGTTTTATCGCAGGAAGCACACTCTACCACATCTTACCGCACTCCCTTTGAACTAAGGTGTTGTTTTTAAATATAATTGTGACCAGGGCTTGGCGCAGATGGCTTACGGGCAAGTTGCATTTGGAAATAAAAAGCAACGGTTATATTATTTTTGTGTGTTCGGGAGGAGCCCCCAAAGAAGCATGTATTTAGTTGTTGAATGCCGCTAAAACTGAATTTCATACAAAATTAATCGTGTGAAAAACTCCCAAAGGCTGACCAATTTCGCCTCCATCAATCCACCAGATTTCTCCTGTCGTCTCTTTTGAACAGAGTTTTTCCAATCGCTGTTGTTGTGGCAATCATACATGTGTATCCCACTACACCTGCCTCTCTCCTTTATGCCGCCTACTCATCCCCTGTAAACGTCGCACGTGCTCATTGCTGCCTCATTGACAAAATTCTTTGCAAGAACAACCTTCTACCAAAATAGAAAACTCTTTCGCAGTGAAGAAGGGATAATGCGGCACCAAAACTTGGTTTAGATGCGCAAGTCCAAGTATGCGCAAGGACCGTTGGGACTATATATGAAAAAATATGAAAAAGAACTGAAGACGTGACCTTTTTCGAGCTTGGCTAGTCTAGAGCCACTTGGCCCACGTGAATTGGCTCAGGAAAAGTCAGTTACAGCCCCTCAAAACTTCGTATTGGTGACAGCTGCTGCCTTAAACGCGCGGTGTGCATGCCGGAAACAATATGCAAATAATGCGAACATCACTGCTTTTTTCGATGTTCTGAGTGTCTTTTGAAGTTCCATTCGGCTTTTCTACCTTTGTCTCCAGAGCACTGCACAGGTACATCGTGATAGTTTTTCGAAGCAAAAGAACGAACTTCTCTTCTCAAAATGCTGGAGCTTCCTCGTGTCGAACTTGTGACTTTTCTGCTTTTGGTCACTACTCCAAGCACAACATGAAATCAATTTTTGTGAAACATGTGCCGAACTCTGAATGTATGTCTGGCACAATAATCTATACAGTTTGTCGACTGTATTCACAAGCTGTTCCCGTAGTCCTAGAACAGTAGTAAAATCACGAGGATCTTTATATATGAAATGAATGCACAGCAATGCCGTGCGGAGCGGTTACCAGATGTCTTGCTGTCTGCCCTCCATGGAGTAGAGGGATAATGTCGCTGATAGGCTTCACCGGCGTGGACAAGCACGAGCTTGTAATGTGTAGAGATGCGTTATTTTTTGAAATGTCGGCGCGAATTCTCCTCTTTCGGCGAAGTAATCTCCTCTACTTAATTCCAAATCAAAGGACAATATACCCAAACGCATTGTGCACCATTTCTCGATTCCCGACCCTCTCTTAAAATTGAACCGTCCGCCTTTGCTTGTCAGTAGTCGACATCACCTAAGCAGAGGAAGTTTCAGCTTAGCCGAGAAGAAGCCAGTTTATTCGTAGAGGTAAAAAGTTGGTTTATATGAGGTTGGTATAGTGACTATCAGCCTGAGGAGGAAGTAAGAATTGTGGCGAAGGTATGCCAGCTTGCTGCCATTACCTTTGCCTTCTTCAGGAAATAAAGAGGATTATATTAAATAAACTATATTTTATAGTCTCTGTTTGTATTTGATTCTTCAAAGCTTTTTTCGTTGATAAAACGCAAACGGTTCTGCTTATATTCGTACCTTTTGCAGTTAGAGCTACTTAGTTAGTTACTTGTGCAGTACTATTTTGTTTATTTTTAGTTATTTCACCCACTCACGTCACCCTCGCGCAGAGGGATCTTCAAAGATCTTGAATGAGGGGCATCGTAGCATGATTGTCTCAAAATTTATTCACATTCATCAAACAGGTTTATGTTTCTATTCAATCGACGAAGTTAATGGCAGTACTTTCTGCAAGCTTGCAACCATGTCAAGTTGTTGAATTTCTTAAGCTACGAGTATGAAGAACTTTGATAAAAAACGTATGTTGCATACAAACCCTCTTCGCCTCTCGGCGAGCCTGCTCATCCATCATGCGAATATCGTTACATGTCCCCCTTAGTCCCCAAGGATCTTCTTCGCATTCTTCATCCAATGCCTCAAAATTTACATTTCCTTCTCAGCGTTGTGCTTAGCAACCTGACTTACCTCAAAATCAATTCTCATATTCGGGCTTTTAATCGTGAAGTATGGACACGCTTCGAAGCAGAAACGGCTATTCAGGGCAGCTTGGCATGTTGTGATCACGCCAGTGAAAAGTAGAAATTCAAACAGTAGTCTCATGATGCCCTTCCAAATTCAACATTCCTTTTATGATGCAGCAACAAGATTATAAAATTCATCACAGAATCTTTGTGTGTTTTGAGATATGATAGCCATTACAACATCATTGTATATGTATGAAAATGCACTGGACAAGTCATCATCTGCCTGAAATGTTTTTGTTTCGATAACCATGGCAAAAGAAATGGAAAACCTTTGACAAGCAATGAATTTTTGATAAGCATCATAACGCTAAAGTGGCCACATGCAAAACAGTTGATCTACTTCGCTATCTTGTGATACGCCCTTCTATTTAACCTTTGATTCAACTGGCTTGGCTTCGGGAAGGCGGGGTTTTGTGGCCAAATTAAGGCCGCCCGCGCCCGCGACGCACCTGCTCTCTCTCGCGCGAGTGCTCTCTGATCATTACCAATTGTCAAATTCACGGGCTACAGCTGAAGTATATTTGCATTTGCTTTTGAAGACAGCGACTCAATTTGGGGTCTCTAACTTCTTCAACATGCTTGAGGTTTTGGATTTGCTAAACCCAACATTGTGCTTTCATTCTAAGAAGGGTATTAGCTTTTTTGTAGCATAAACTGCTGGAAGAGCGAAATTAGAGATTTTGCGCATGTGGAACCATTGGAGGCCGGAACCAATCGACCATTCGTTTCCAGAATGGGTGGGATGTCTCCACTTAATTCAGTTCTGGCAGCCAATCACTTTCGAGTGCGCAAGAATCTAATTTCGCTCCTCCAGCATTTCTATAATGTGACAAGCGAGTTTTGAAAAGTCTGAAAGCTACAAAGCGCAGTTGTAAACTCCGCACTTTCAAAAGGTTCAAAAATACCAAAAGAGCCTATGGGAGCGAACCTATCAAGCTATTGCACATATTTTATATAGCACATAGTTTATAAAGTTTCGTAATTGAATCATCAAGAATTTTCCATTGAAGTGAAGCTCTTAGAAGGAATTGTTACAGGTATTACTTGATGCTGCCGCGAGTGTCCAGCAGTTTTTTTTTTCAATCTTTTTGATAACTACCTAATAGATAGCATTGCACATAGCACCTAGAGTGTGCAAGATATTCATGCAAGCTGGCATGTTTGGTTCCGCTCTTTGCCTACAGTTCGGTTACAGTTATAGGTCACACTGTAAAATACTAAGATTTATAGTCTTGTGAACGAAATGTTTTGCTGGTATCGTGTTGCTGCATGTGCGTATCAACGCTATACCACTAGAGAAGGCTACGCAGTTGACTTTGCCTGGAGAAAAGTAAAAATTCTCAGCAGGCTGTGCATCCCGCTGTTTTTTGACTACGCTCATTTCTCTTTTGGCCAACCCTTCTCTACACTTTAACGTTCAGCTGATATACACAACTTGCAAAATTTGGTTCGTGTTCAAAGATGTATTCTCTACACGGAGCATTAGTAACACATTTCTAAGGCATTTTCACGATTGCCTTTCAGTATTTAGCCAAGAAGGCCTTAAATTATTAGGTCGTCTCGAAAGTTCGTTCGCACCGTTTTCAAAAATTCATAACTTATAATGTGTTCAACGAGTTTGACTGCTTTTATTTTTATGCCAAAGGGTGAAATATGCTCTATACAATGACACTTTATTAGCTGCTTACTAAAGGTCATCTGTTGCATAGATAGGAGCAGTAGAGGAGAATTAATCGAAATCCTGAGTTTCTGCGTAGGGTCATAAAAAATCTGAAACTTGCAATAAAAATCGGAGCATTTGGTATTTTGGGTTCTGCTACCTGCTCCTTCTAAATGCGCGAAACTTGTGCTGATTGAACGTCTCTATCAAAAATTATGATTTTCGAGCAAGCAATACAAAAAGGCAATTTTGACTTATTTGGGCATTTTTCTCGAAAATCATAACTTTTGATGAAGATCTTCCTTCGTCAGCGAACCTTGTGCTTTGATACCAGGGGCGGCATGTATCAGTCGCCGCCCGAGTAAGTTACCCGGACAGGTAGTTTCCGCTTCATGCTCTGGGGATCCGTATCCTTGCTTTTCGCTCATATTTTAGAGACTCTACTACCCCGATATTGTAGCACAATGAAGCAGCACTTTGCTGTATAAGCTGAGATAATTCGTTATTTGTATGATTCCCAAGATCTCCCACTCACGCCATTTTCAAAGTTATTTATATCCGCAAAAACTCAACGAAAACATCACACAGTTTGTCAGTTGATTACGACAGTGCTACGCATGTTTTTATTAGCACAGATGAAATGAGCAAGTTTCGAGTTTTTCGATAAAGCTTAACTCGCAAGCACAGGTTCGTAGAAGATTTTGTTAACTTGATTTTTCATTTATTTCTCTAAGAAACATGCGTAGCACTTCGTAAAAAATCGGCAGCAAAACTCAGTGACGTTTCCATTGAGTTTTTGCAGATATAAATAAGTTTGAAAATGAGCGTGATCAGTGAGAGATCCGTTCGGGATCATACAAATAACGATTTATCTCAGCTTATACAGCAAAGTGCTGCTACTCATTGTGTACAATATTAAGGTTAGGGCCTCCAAAAGATGAACAAACAAGGAAGAACACGGATTCCGAAAGCACCGAGCTTTGAAGTGGAAACTCTGTACGAGTAACTTACCCGGATGAGCGATTGATACATACCGCCCCAGGATAGTCAAAGCAGTTTTATGAAACGTCTGCCCGATATCACATGTATGAGTTGAGCACGACTTCGAATGCCGTTGCGCAAAGAGTAGTATAAAGTCTGGCATGACAAAAATGCATCAGCATGGCTATAATTGATTGAAGTACATCTGAATGATTAACCGAAACGATGGTATCAATAGGAAGAACCCTACAGGGCTCCTAAATTGAAGAGTCGTTTGCACCAGCGGTCGCGCGACCGCTGGTGCAAACGACTCTGCAATTTAGAAGCCCTGTACATACTTCTTCATATATCTACTTTGCATCTTTCAGTAAATATTCGGCAATGTAGCGACACAACCGCAAAATGGTTATTGATCGAAACAAACCAATTCTCTGCATCCATTCGCAAACTCAGTAAAGATGGGACTTTATCAAAAAAAAATCCTGAGCGCTGAATTCAATGCGCCTTCTTTGTTAAGCTCCCGCCAGAGTGCCGAAGTTATGCCAGCGCTACGCCAGCATTTCGATCGATACACGTGTATTTCGTTGGGGCGGGGCTAACTGACGTCTCGAACGAAATACACGTGTATCGATCGAAATGCTGGCGTAGCGCTGGCATAACTTCGGCACTCCGGCGGGAGCTTTATAGTCCGGTTAAGCAAAAAATGGTGATTTGATTGTATGAGTTTTCAATTTCTCTGCTTTTACAAAAGTAATGTGTATCTATATGTATACTTGTGTGTATGTGTATATGTATCATCGATTTTACAACTAGGAGACGCGAAACCGCATTGCGGACACTGTCTTATCATATTTGAGTTTGTTCTTCCGTGTTTTCAAAGAGTGAATAAATCTGGACGAATTAAATAACAGATATAAATCTGCTAAGTACACGCTTAGGCTTGTTTAGACAATGTGTGCAATGCGGACTTGCGTCTCCTGGTCATAGAATGAATGATATGTGTTATGTGGTGTATGTGTACCCTCTGTGTCACTGGGAGTGATAAAGCTCGCGCGCTCGGGTGTGGCACGACCGCCTCGTCTGGGCTCGCACCTCTTTCGCAAGCACGTTTCCCAGTCATTTTCCCACTCTAAATTAACGATTGAACCTCTACTTTCCTACGCTTGTGGTGGAAAAATGAGCAGGGAGCATGCTTACGAAGAGAAGCAGAGGGGTGTACGTGTATTTAAAGAAGAAATTTTTCAATAACCCTACCCCGCTACTTTCTTCCATAGTAGACTGCATACACCTCAACATCTTTCTTACCTGTAAAATATTTTTTTTTCTATTTCCACCCAAAGTACGTGTGGACTTGTGTGGCTTTGATGAGAAAGCGTTTAGTTGAGCTTGGGAAGTTCCAAGGGCGATTGATCGCTCGCGTGAAATTGTAAATCTGTTTTCAAACGGATCTTCGTGAAACTTAACGCACATGTTCAAAATGAAAATTTATTGCAATACTACATTTCACACATGACGTGCATATACCCTGTACCCTGAGTATGAATATACTCGCTACGAAGTGTCTCCTTGTGGTAGAGACTTCCTTAATGATTCTGACGTTCTACGAGTTTATAGTACATTCCTTTCCTAGCTAGCAGTGTTTGGTGAGTTCCTCTCTCAATCACACGGCCGTCCTTACAGACGACGATCTCATCGGAATTCTGTAAGTACAAGATTCAATTTATTTTGTTCAGGTTCATCAAATCAGTTGATTGATTTGACATGATATTTTGTTTGTTTGTTGACAAACCTGTACTGTTGACAAACGATGCGCAATCACTATACAAGTTCTGCCCTGTCGTGCTTTGTCAAGAGCTTCTTGCACAACCTAAATTCAATCTAAAGACGTTGCTGTAGGTGAAGTCGACTGCACGACGCCCATATCGCTGTAGGCTGAACGCATGCGAGCGTACCTGCAACGCGGCTGCCGAATACGCTATGATGACACTCATGCGCCCGAATGCCAATGTTAGCCCGCCAGAGATACGCTCGCGGGCTTTCAGCCTGGGCGATTGTGCAGCCAACTATACCAGTCCTCCTCCATACAATTGCTATATGCTATCTAATTGTAAGACTTTGAAAAGCAGCTACTCAGACAATCGCCGGGGACAGGCGGGCACGGAAAAATAGATGGCTGATTTCTCGCAGCACGCTCGCGTATTTTTTGAAAAGCAATCAGGGCTTTTTGGAATGCCGCTTGCTGGGTTCTCGATTCCTCAGAGATTCAGCAATATATCTGCCAAAGATAAGAGCGAAAAGAGATTCAACAGGCGGTCTCTCAAAACTCGCTGACCATTCTCGTGGAATTTGCGAGCGCAATGCGAAAAGTCAGCAACGCGTATTTTCCGGCGCCCGCCTGCCCCCGGCGATTGTCTGAGTTGCTGCCAAAATTCAGAGCCTGCATATGCCCCTTAGGTAAAGTACCTTTCTTTTTCATCACAAGTCTGCCCAGTGTAGCGCTTGAAATGCCGTCCTCTTGTCGTCTCGAATACCAAATTCGCGACAGTTTTTTAGTCACTACTCTACATATTCGCACAGTTTTAGTTAGCAGCCAATACACGTTATGTCAGCTCAAGTACGGAGCGTAATGTATGTAATGTAATGTAACGCGCCGATGTTGTTTGCGAAGATATTGTACGCATAAAGTTCATGTTTCTATCATATTTTGCTTCTGCGCCGAACAAAACGTTTATTATTCCGCTTCAATCGCATATTGCGCGCTCTAGACCATGATAACCGTGTAAGCGCTTGTTGGAGGGAGGGGAAGAGGGGAGGGGGGTCACAGTGCGTGAAATTTCCACAAAGCGTTGCCGTTCCGCGGCATTTACCGAACTGGTGAATGTGCTTGGTAGTTCACTTATGGCATCGAATCATGTATATGCCGCTAAACCTCACTCCCTCTACTCCTCCGCCGCGCCACTTTTGTACCAGAGAAGTTTTGTGGGGAACAAAATATGAGCAGTAATATAATAGGCATGCGGTGACAAAGCAACGTCGTGCGCGGTGTGAGTCCTGGGGTGGTATGTACCAATCTCCCGTTCGGGTGAGTGTTTCCGTACAGATCGTAACTGAGCGAGGGCGCCCAAAACCCATGATGCGCGAACATTGGCGCCTGACCGTCCAAGAGCCTATCAGGCAGAATCGCGTAGGTTTGCAATGGCTGGACACCTACGCCACCTTGTTTGTGTGTAAATTGTGTGAAAAAGGGCTTCTCTTTGATTGGGTGGCCGACAATGGTAGATCAAACGATACAATTGGGACCTAAATTTGATGAACAAATAAGGCAAACCTTTTCATTTCCGGTGTCCAAAGCACTTGTAGCCTCATCTAGCAATAGAATTTTTGGGTCTCTGACAATAGCTCGCGCAATCGCGATACGTTGCTTCTGACCACCTGACAGTAATGCCCCTTTCGTGCCAACCACAGTGTCGTAAGCCTGGAAGTTTTTTTTGGATATTCGATAGTCAGCACTCGATGTTTAACTCAGATCACAAAACTAGGTATAGTTGAGTCCACTATTACTCACGTCTGGTAGTGACATGATAAAATCATGAATATTGGCAAAACGAGCTGCACGCTCGACTTCTTCTTGTGTGCAACGTTCCATTCCATACATTATATTTTCACTGGAACAAGATAGTCTTGCTGAGGTCTCTAGGCAGTAGAGTGTGAGCTTATCCCCACTGTCACTCACCTAATAGTCATGTTGAAAAGCGTGGGTTCTTGTCCTACAAGTGCCATACTGTCGCGCATATGACGAATGGATAGATCGCGTACATCATATTTATCAATGGTCTAAATGGTTATTCTCTAGAAGGAGCAATTGTCGGATAATCCAGACAATTCACCAGAACTTCCGTATTACAAGCAAGTTTCGCAGCGGTTCCGCAGAATTTTGTTCACTATTACAAAACTGAAAACGTCGAAAATGGGAACTTTCGCAGGATTTTCACGCTAGAGTGGGTGAAAACGGAAACTTCCGCGGGGCTCTTTACAAGATGCTGCAGAAATTACGAAATATACCGGCGGTTCCGCATGCTAGTACTTCCGCAGGATTTTGAATGTGTTGTCTCTTACGATGTTGTCTCGTCAATAACTAGTGTGCATTGTCAAATATGTCATCCATAGTGCAGTGGATAGTGAGTGGGTCTCGCAGCCAATAGAGCAAGCTTCGAATCGTGCTTGTTGTTGTATTCGTACCCTTCGAAACTTCCGCAGCACGTTTACGGAACTTCCGCAGGCTGACCCGGCGAAATTTTCTCAAACGTTCTGCGGAACTTCCGGGCAGTTGTTTTAGAAAGTGCTACAAACTTGACGCTCACCACAGATCCGCATAGAGCATCGTAATATCGTTCAACTAGCTGAATTATAGTGCTCTTTCCGCATCCACTCGGTCCCACAAGAGCTACAGTCTGTCCATGCTTCACAGAAATATCCACACCTTGTAAAATAAGCGCTCGCCGTCGCGCTGGGTAAGAGAAGTAGACGTTCCTCAGAACTATATCGCCTTTGATTTCCTGGAAAAAAATTCAAACATTTGACCAACACATGAAGAAAGCGTGGAATATGTGAACCACTACTCTAGGCTCACTGGTTTTTCGCCCTGGTGGCCCATGTTGTCAACCTTTGGTCGTTCTCGCATCATTGTGAACATCACACCGGCCGAAATTCTAGCACGAATATATTCTGGAAGATAGGATGCAGCGGTCATCATACTGTACGACGACAAGTTCAGCGCTTCGATGACTCTAAAAACCGACATAAAAATGCTCAGTACTGCTAATTGAGTATTCTATGTAGGCCTTTACTGCCCAGAAGTTCCAATCAAATATTAGAAAAATTTTGCGTTAGAATCAATCATCTGCTTGAAATACATGTTTTCCAGATCTTTGTTTTTTTGTTTTCCAAACTAAAAACCTTTTCCAGATCTTCTCAATGAAAGGAACTCATTGACACATTCGCGACAAGGATGATTTTTCAATGTCAGCCATTTCGGACCAGAACGTATTTCGCAGTATTGAGTTTGCGTAATATTTTTTAGCCACTGAATGGGTCTGTGGTCTGAAGTGTCAATATCTTTGAGGATTTTCGAAGGAGTGCAGAAGTTTACTCAATTTGCCCAAAAAACTCCATCGTAAACTAGCAAACTAAAAACTCCAGAAAGCATACGACCAACAGGTGGGCCGTATTGTCGGAGATGGCAGGATAACCCACCGATGGGTCATATTGCCGCGAATGTGCTAAGAACGAAACTTCCTATTTTTCCGTATATCAACTCTGTGGCTTCTCTGTTAGATTTTGGTGAACTAGGAAAAGTGAAACCTATGAGCCAAAGAAGAAACTGTTTCTTAGACCATCGCCTCCTTTTCTTCGCTTTCTAATCCCACATTTTTATAACATGACAGTAACTTACTGGAATACGGTAAATGGAGTGCTCCACCCATTTCTGATCAACCACAACCCGAAAGCATAGACGATAGCAAAGTTCGTCATAACAAAGCAGTTTGCCAATGCATACGATAACGATTGCCACAGACCTAGATGTTAAGCTTCGTAGGATCGCATTCTCGGCAATCATGAGGAGACTGATTCTTTTTCCCGTAATTACACCACTGACCTCTTATTATTGCTCTTCTGTGAGGTTCACGTGCAGCAGCTTTATAGGCTTGGTACATGTAGCATTCTTTTCCCAGTGCTTGAATAGTTTTGGTGTTGGCGATCGACTCAGTGACTATCTGGAAAGGGCCGGCTGGACCAAGAACTGGTAAGTGCTTAGTCACTCTTGAACAAAAATGACTGCTTTTCGCAATGTACAACGAATACGATGAATTTTTGTCTAAACAATTTCTGACGCATAAAAAGTCTCTAAAGATTTATGTATCGTCGATTCGTTGACCGCACGGACTGCTCAAACCATGCGGACCACGCGGGGGCGGCCTAAGCTCAGGGAAAAAAATCAGAAAATGTTTATGCAAAACGACTACATCATACTATTAGTGGCACTGCAACCAAATTTTAGCTAAATTAACTAATTTTTAGCTAAACACTCCAATTTTTTTCAGAAAATCTTACAAATATTAGGTTGAACCGAAAGTTCGTTCGCACCATTTTCAAAAAATCATAACTTCTTTCCTTCACGACGATTTTGCGCATTTTAAGCTTTGTTAGAAACCGTAAAGCATGTAGTTTCCAATAGTCCCCTGGCGGCTTTCCAGCATGTTCAGATTGCAGGGATAAAAATGAAAGAACGAAAACATCCGAAATTCGGAATTTTTGAGAAACAATTCCAAAAATCTAGAAACTGCGCGATAAAATCCAGAAAAGCCATTATCCTAATTTTTCTTATATTTGGTTACTAACTGGATCAAGTTTGTGCTGATCGAGCTCTTCTTTCAAAAGTTATGATTTTTTGAAAAAAATTCCGAAAAATCACTTTCCTAAGAATTCCTAAGAAATTGATTTTTTGGCATTTTTTTTCAAAAAATCATAACTTTTGAAAGAAAAGTCCGATCAGCACAAACTTAACTCAGTTAGTAATCAAATATAAGAAAAATTAGGGTAATGGTTTTTTTTGGATTTTATCGCGCAGTTTCTAGATTTTTGGAATTGTTTCTCAAAAATTTCGAATTTCGGATGTTTTCGTTCTTTCATTTTTATCTCTGCAATCTGAATATGCTGGAAAGTCTACAGAAAACTATTGGAAACTACATGCTTTACGCTTTCTAACAAAGTTTAAAATGCGCAAAATCGTCGTGAAGGAAAGAAGTTATGATTTTTTGAAAATGGTGCGAACGAACTTTCGGTTCAACCTAATATTTTAGTCTGGTCTTGAAAAAAATTGCTTTGATGTAATTTAACAGTAACAATCAGCAAACCTTGCTTGCTTCTACTGCTGTTTCCATATCTTCTTGTCCGCGAACTTTCAAATATTGTGTGACAGTAATTTGTGCAATCACTATAATAATATAATACGTAGACATTCATGAAAATCCGTATACCCTTTGATTCAACTGGATTGGCGGCTGGAAGGCGGGGCTTTATGATCTAATTAAGGTTAAAGAATGACCAGAGAGCACGCCCGCGAGAGAGACGCAGACTGCGTCGCGGGCGCGAACGGTTGCCTTCCAGCTGCCAATCTCGTTGAATCAAAGTGCACCCATCTATACGAACTATCTATCATGGCGAGTTCTAAATAAGCAAACGAATAGGAAAAGAACTTTCCTAGCGCTATAGCCGAAGCCAAACCAATAGGAGCGACATTCCACCCGTAGTAAAAAGCGACAGTGACACCAGCAATGAGCGCGCTGACTCCTTGCATCACTTCAGCAAATCGTTGATCAATGGCCTGGACACCTATTTTACGGCAAAAGCAAGTTGATAAACAGAGTTAGGCTACCGCTTGGACGTTGGGTGCATCTGATGCCAAACGAGCAGTCAAAGCTCCCGTGTTGTGTTTTGGATTGTCAAAATAGGAGGCATCTTGACGCATGATATTCTGTAAAGCAATAGATTAGAAAATCTAACATAAGCAAAACACACTCTAGAGATTTAATTGTTTTCTTTTGACTCGAATAGATTCAATTTTCGAGAAAAAAAACATTTTACAGAGCGAGCAGTCTACATGCTGGCAATTGGAATCTCTGATGCATATTTTGATCTCTGTTTCACTGGAGTTGGCGGTTGGAGGGGGGGGGGCTTTGGTCGAGTAGAAAGCGCGTACGCTAGCGCCTGCATTTCCCACGCTTACGTGCTAATCGATCGAAGCCCCGCCCTCCAGCTGCCAACTTTAGTGAAACAGAGACTACATAGTTTATCTTCAATTTTTTCTTTTCCTTTATACTTTTCTAAAACAGCGCTACTTTTACTCCAATTCAAACTTTTGTTTTCGCATCTAGTCTTTCCACTTTATTGTACTTTTGAAGTAATTTTTGAAGTGATTTTTGATTACTGTAAAACGGAATGAACACGAAAAGAGTATTTTTGCGGCAGCTCGGTGACAAAGTGTGCAAGTGATTTTCAATTAGCGGTTTTTAAGTTTCGAAAACAAGCTATTCAAAAAAAGTGGCTAATTGCTTTTTGAATATTTTATAGAGCTTACCCGCTAAAAAGGCACGCATTCTGAAAAGGTCTGTCCCAAAAAACTTTGGCACCCTTTTTTGGCACACCATGCTTTAAAGTATCTTTTTCTTACCTTGAAAACATCCATTCTCAAACGCATTGCCATTTTTTCTCCCGTTATACCATAAAGTGCACCAGAGACGAATGTGGCTGCACCGGCTACGACTGCAAGCACAAAGAAAAGCGCCGAATTCGTGGTACTTCCGGCAGCTACAGTATCCAAATCTTCACTGGCAAACAGCTGAAGCAAGGCTTATTTTCAATTCTATAAAGTACAGGAATTCCTCTAAAATCACCAAAAACAATTTTCCGTAGATGATCGCGAATATTGGCCAAGTCAATCCTCGGATTATGGTATTTGTCAACGCTAGTGTAGCCATTGGAAATTCCTGTTGAAAATTCTTTATCCAGAACAAGGATGATTTTATAGGATTTTTGCAAGCCTTACCGGTTTCGCATATTCAAAAATGTCAAACAATGAGGCTTCCACTGCGCCTTCTTCGGCCATGTCTTCACGGGCGCTAAAAAGACAAAGATAAAACTTGATGAAGTTAGGGAAGCTGTTAGATTTCCTTCTAGTTCTATATATAAAAAATTGTTATTTTGGGTTTTCGGAAAAATATTGCAGCCGACAAACCTTTCAATCTCCCATTCGGGCTCTTGTGTTGAGGTACTTAACATACTTTGACGAAGACGCGCAGAATCTCTTGCTCTCAGCTTTGCTTCCTCTTCCCCGTTTGGAGATTTTTCTGTGAATCCACTTCTGTGCATATCCACTGGTTCAACATCTGAAGGAGATGTTACGCATAAGTTTTTGATCTAGACTATTCGTAGAAAACAACCATCTAGGGTAGTGTCTTCTTGTCCCTGAGCGATTTCTTGAGCCTTAACCATTCCTTTGTAAATTCCTTCTTCTATTGCCATTAGTTCATCATTAGTGCCTGGAATGAAGAACGGATTTTGAAGCATTTTTATTTCATATGTCAGGGCTATACTCAAGTCCCAGCGCAGGCAACGCACAAATCGCGTATGCACTGGCGGCGCGGCCTACGCGTCTAAAAGTGGAAAGTGTAAAGCACACGGCTTCGGCTACTTTGCTTGTTTGTTGTTTGATTGGATTTGTGCATAGAAACATATTTGAAGTTTAAAAGTCACAAATATTCTAACCAAATTACCTTTTTCAACAATGCGACCGTCCTCGAAAACTATGATTTTGTCTGCATCCTTGACTGTCGAAAGCCTGTGCGCTATGCAGATTGTAGTTCGATTTTTCTTGCCCTAAATGCGTCTTACACAATCACAATAGTCAATAAACTGTTTCACTGACCACATTCAACTCTTCTTGCACAGCTCTTTCGCTTTCTGTATCCAGAGCGCTAGTAGCCTCGTCCAGAATGAGAATCTGTGGCCTGCGGACCAGAGCTCGAGCAAGAGCAATGCGTTGTTTTTCGCCGCCAGACAGTTGCACAGCGCCTTCACCGATGACTGTTTCAAAACCCTAGCAAACAAAATTCTGTATTAAAGTTAGGGGAAGGGGCGAAGATGGAGAGGTTAAAAACAATATGTAAGAGATGTAGTGGCTGCATACAGTCTTCATAGTCTAAAAATAAAAATTTCAGTCTCTTGAGGAGAGTCTAGCAGCTGTCTTGAGAAGAACGACAATCACGAATGGTTCATATCAGAACAAATGTCCGAAAAAAGCGTTAGGAATAAAAAACCAGTGCCAAGTTGGTCTCGGAACTCTTTTGTTAGTGAATGGGGGGAGGGGGAGGTAGGAATCCTCGAATTTATCTGGATCGTGGCTAATTCTACAATCTTTACACTATTCATTGGAGTGTTGCAGAATTTTGTCTCCATATTACGTTATTCAAAAATTGGTTAGATTTACTGGTAGAAAAAAGGTCACCTGAGAGCTTCAGAGCTTTAGTACTCACGTAGATTCTCAAAAACATCCCCTTCGGCTCCTTTCCGTTTTTTTTCTTCAATTGATTAATTTTTGACTGATTTTTCAAGCAAAGTGCTTTTTGGGCATTTGCTCATTCGATTCTTTCATGAATTTCCGCAACTGGAGGTTCTGATTCTGTTGATAGCCTTCTGCTATGGACATATCATAGTTGAAGCATTATTACATATTTACTAACATCGCCAAGCTTTTTAATGAAATCTAGTGCATTAGCCATTCGACAAGCTTCCTCCACCTCTGCATCTGTCAAGGAGTCATCGCCCATTCTAAAAATTTTCTTGAACTTTTTTCTAGCTGTACCAACTGTTTATACTCACCGTACATTTTCCGCTACCGTAGCCGAGAATATAACAGGTTCTTGCTGTACTACGCCAATAGCGTTTCTTAGCCATTTGATATTATATTCGCGAAGTGGAACACCATCGAGAGCCACCTAAGAAAGATGATTTGTGGGTTTGCCTAAGTAAGGTAAGGTAAATCTCGAGATTTCCTGAATGTCTAATTGATAATTAAGATTTGAAGATGTGTAGTATTGCAGTCTAGTGTTATTCAACAGTTAAACTCACTACTCCAGAATTTTCAGAGGTTTGCTCATAAAATCGCAGCAGCAGTCCAATCATCGTGGATTTCCCGCATCCAGAATGTCCTACCAACGCCACCGTTTCACCCGGATTCACCTAAAGGTTTCTAGAGACCTGCTGATAACATAGTATGACGAGCGTATTCATTAAAAAAACATTTTTTGGCGATTCTACGCAAGTATACCAAACGCGCGCCGAGAAGGAGTGGGGAGTGATTCACGAATGTCACTACGAGAGACTATCTTCTGTCACTACGTAGACAGAAGATACGCACACATTGAGAAACCGCGCCGCGAAGTGGCCGCAAATTACGCATTGCCTGCGGTCGCTCGATTGTACAATTAGGCTTATACCGCAAAACACATTTACCTCGTAGCTGACGTCCTTTAGAACTTTCACATCAGGTCGGGATGGATAAGAAAAGTTAACATTGGAGAAGCTAAGCTTTCCCGTGATTTTTTCTGGAGTGAAACCTTCCGTTTTTGTACTGTCAATGTCTGGCACCTAAGATATTTTTCTCAAGTTCTCAATATACCCTGGAGGGGAGGAGTTAGTAATTCTTACTCTATTGATGATGGCAAATATGTCAGCAGCCGCAAGTTGCGCACTGATAAGCGCTCCCATTTGTGGAATGGCATCTCCCAAACGTCGAGTACCGATCAACACTGCCCAGAAAACAGCGACAACTGTTCCTGGGGTAACCTCCTCGTCGACAACAAGTGATGTTCCATACCTTGGGACCAGGATATCAAATACGTGTGTGGATTGGGACTGTATGCTTACCAGAATGAAATAGACATAACGGCGAAAGTAAGAAAAGCGTTCAATCCTGCAAATCCGCTCAAAACCAGACCTTCGTGTATGCCGAGATTTCTCGCCAATCTCAACTCTTTTTCATATCTGAAAGAATCATATGCATTCGAAAACGACTGCAAAATGTCGAATAAGTTAAAGCCTTTATTCAAAAGTTTTACCGATGAATTTCAGCCGGCTGAGCATTGAATGCCATAACAGTGCGGATTCCAGAAATAACTTCATTGGCGATACCGCCAGCTCTTGACTGGGCATAAGATTTGGATTTGGCAGCTCTTGAGATGATCTGCAATGCAAGAAAATTGATGAATTCAGGAGGATTTCGCCGGGCGCATTCTCGTACGCTACTGTACCCCAGGACATTTGAAAAATGCTTCCGTAGCTTCTCGGTGGGCCCTAAGCACCTAGATTATAACCAAGATCTAGTGCGCTCGCCCGTTTAGTACATACGACGCAACCTAGCCTAATACTTTACCTAGCGTGTAAAGAAACAAAGACTGAAACACTAATAGTTTATTTACTCTTGCAGTGCGAAAAGAAACAAATAAACATTTGCTGAACTACTAAACTACAAATAAAAGAAATACCCCGGCACGAGGCAGGGTACTCCGTCCCGAGCTACGATGGTTGCACATCTATACATACAAATAAAAAATATGCTCCCAAGGCTTTAACAACTAGGATCCGCTACGCGTCGCCGGATGGCAGGCGCGAAGCCTCTCCGCTTCCAAGTTCACAAGATTTCAATATCCTAAACTCAAAAGTTCCAAAAGTGGCTCGTCAAAAATCAATCCCAAATCCGACTTGAATTCCAAGCCAGTATGAATTCCGCTTACAAGGGAAGGATAGTTGGATGCCGCGGCCATTCCTAATGATTGGTATACCAAAAAATGAGCCTTCGAATGCAGATTCTGAATCTGTGCTCGAAATCTGCGAAACGATCTTTTGAAGAAAGTTATGAACTATTTTCCTTGAAAATTTAGCCTACTTTTTGATAGTAAAAATCACCAGATTTGATCTAGCCTACCGTTTGATGCTACTGAAGAAAATTTTAAACGTAGTAATATTTATTTAGACTATCTGGATCATACTCAGCATTTGGAAAGGAGAGAAAATTTTTTTATTGATGATTTTGACCTTCCCCAGGAACGCAATTTTTTTAATGAAAAAAATCATAACTCCATTCAGATTATCGTTTCGCAGATATGAAAGACAGTCTACGAACCAGCATTCAAAAGCGCATTTTTTGGTATACAAATCATTATGAATAGCTACGGCATCCAAGTATCCTTCCCCTGTTAGACACTCGCGCTGGCCGGCGACTATACGACAACGGCCTTCCGGTCGATGGTCGCGCCATTATTTTGGGCGGGCCTAATGCCGGCCGGCGAGCAGACGAAGAGATCGTGCCCTCCGGCGGCCGTTTCCATTGTGCAAAAACACGAGAAGCGCAAGTGATTGCACATATAGTAAGAGAATAATATCGAAAATCGTATATTGAGCCTGCTAAGCACCCGTCGTCTTTGCTTGATCGCCTTTATTATTTTCTTGTTACTTTATTTATTATTGTAGCGGTTTCCAGCGCGGATGCGTATGTTTAACTAAGTTTGGCCCTGAAGGGATGATAATTATGCTTTGGGGTTACCCAGAAGTTTGGCATTCGTATGCAAGTTGATGTAGCTCATCTTTACGACAATTCCGCTCTCTTTTGAAGATTTGAAGAATCTCCACGATGTTTATGATCTCTTCTCTCTACTTTCCTATGCTTTCTGACTTGCATGGCGATGAAGCAGAACATGAGTGAATTTAGATGCCCACGTGGTGTGAGGTGAAATCCATGTGTCGCATCAGCTTTTGGTGCGAATTGGACAAGTACAAACTAAATGTCCACAAATTTTTAAGAGGCAGCTGCAATTTGCGTAGTGTTTGCGTTCTAGCTTTTTTGATCGAACTACAGCGATTGGTTAACTGCTGTCAGCTCAACATACTTTATTCGTAACATCGGTATGGCTCTTGATAGATGCTCCCTGTATCCTACTCTTGAAATTCTAGACTATTCCTCGTTTGCTAAATGTTTTATGATTCATCTTGGTATCGTTGGTCTGCCGGTTGCTACTTTGTTGACAACATATTGGACTCGGAAGCTATCTGATATTCTACCGCAATTCTGATAATCTGGTCACGGTTGCTGAACGCACTCCAGAAGATGTAAGTTCTTCTTAGATATTATTGAATCTAGCCTTGCAGAGTTTCCAGAGACTGATAAAATCATCTATTCTAAACGTCTACTGTAATACTTGTATTTTTGATATTTCTCTACTAAATTATCGTAACTCTATGCATAGCGTGTAGGTTCTGTGTCAGTTGAAAACTGTCAATAATTTGTTTCGTTTACAGGTTATCGAATACAGATGCTTATGTGTGGCATTTAAAAGTCCGTAAAAAAAACATTCTGGACTTACCGACGCAATCTGAAGGGTTCTAACGGCTGGCGGCCATTCGGGTACCTGCTGGCGGTTGGCTGGCCACCGGGCCGGCCGAGTTATATATAATTTTTTTGCTGGCAACGCGCCAAGGCGGGGAGAGGTTTGAAGGCGATTGCGGCAAGCATGAGAAAGTACGATAAGCGTTGCCGGATAGCGCGGCACAACCAGTGCTCCCGGTATCCTAGCAGCGCTCGCATCGCAGGATAGTGTGGGTGCAGGACATAACTGTTTGGGCCCATGACACTTACTCAACATCTGACTTTAACAAATCATATTTACCTTTGTTGAGACAATTGTGGCTCCGAGAAGAGCTGGCACCGCAAATATCATCAGCATCGTAATTTTCGCGCTGAAAGGGATGAGCATTTTCCAGTTTGAATATGAGTGGGACAAATCAAAGCAATTGGGAAAAAATAAGTCCACATTTTGATTGCTAACCTCAAGTAATAACCTAATGCTATACCAGCCAAAAAACTTCCTTGTGCTGACATCAGTACTCCCAACTTATCGCCAATCCCGTCCTTTAATCGCTCTATTCCACTGAAACAAACTAGTGGTAGAGGGAAGAGGACAGATGAATACGTACCTGCTCATTTTATCTGTGAGGGCTCCTATTTGTTGAGTGTCAAACCATGCCATATCTTGCCGCATAACTGATTTCAGGAATTTCTTGCGAATACAGTGAATCCGCCGCTCACATAATGTGAACAAACAAGCATTCTGGAAAGGCAATGGATTCCTGTGGTAAAGTTAACCGTTTCTGCAAATGATGTCTTACCGAGAGATAACCAGTCAACAAAAGTGTGATAGCTAGGTATATATATAGACTACAGTAATACAGAACGTTCGAAGAAAAGTCCTCCATATCTAGTTCAGTGTAAGTTTGGTTACGCTCCGCATTGATCAGGGTATCGCACATCCCTTAAACATTCCATATTTTGTAAAAGTTATTTCTGAAAATACTGGAAGTCTTCAGAGCCTTTTGGTACTTTTTGAAAAGTAGTGAAGTAAGGATTGCCAGACAAAGGAGATGCAAGGCTATTAGCACGGAATTGAACGTAGTAGTAAGGTTTCCTCTGTAAACTGTGCCTGTCCGGAAGTACGGACAATTGGCACGAACTGATGGTTGAAGATGCACGATTGGTGCCAGATTCCAGATTAAGTTAGAAGCAGGAAAAAAGTCAGTTGGGTCGAAGTATAATGATGCAACAGCAGTCCATCAAATATGCAAAGAAGCGCAAAAACAGTCGATTGCGAGGTGGCGTTTAGGCTGAGAACAGAGTTTCTGATAATGGTGAAGTCACGTCCTACCATTTTTAGTGCTTATATTAGGATTCAGAATAATCTGCACCGAACGTTGAGAGAAGCGAATTGAAGAAACAAGGAGTACTAGAAACCAGCCAAATACAAAAACGGACGGTTTTCACACTTAGAAGTGCGCTTGCTGGCAGTTTGTTCGGTTTCCGGGTAAGCCGTGGAAAGGGATGTCCCTTCTAGTTGCCATTAGAAAACAACAAAGCTCCGAGATAACTCAGCTGAGCGCTGGTTCGACCGAAAATTCTGTGATTTTGCGACTTTGTGAGCCCAACACAGTTTATGTAGGATTGTACAGTACTTCTAATCTGCTGTATTATACCAAAATATCTGTTCATAGACGGCCCATCCGGGCACAAAATTTGGAAAAGCAATTTGATCCACAGCATAATTTACAAAGACTTGACGATGGTTTGGATTCATTAATACGTAATAATATAATCAAGGTATAAATGCTTGACGATGTAGTTATTACTAGGTTGAAAAACTAAGTTTTGCAATTTGCTTCATAACTTTACTCCCATTGGATGTTGTGCGCTCAAGCTTTGGCAATGTGTAGAATGTAAGGTGTTCTACAACATCATACAAACTGTTTGAATTTTACACAGGTATTTGAAAAGTTACATGAATTACTCAAAAACTAGTTGATTTCGAAAATTTCGGGTGTTGTAAGCCAAAATGAAGCCGTTGGCAACCTGGACCATGCACAATGATCCAAATTTGTGGCTGGATTATTATAAAGTAAGAAAGAAAACTCAGTAAGAAAGAAATGAGATTCGAAGGCAAATCGAGATTTAGTGCTCTTACAAAGTTGAAGGAGTCGCAATACGCAAGGCTGCAGAGAACAACCATCAGTTTCAAAGAAGTCAAGATCCCAAAAATAGCCGACAGTTCGCATATTGGGACTATCTGACCTGCCACTACTAATATCATATTTGTTTGTGAAATGTCTAAGCCTTCACCAAGGTATGACGTTAATTAGGCTAACGTTTCGGCCAGCTCGCCTTCTTCAGAGGTAAGTGAGTAACATATGAGATCTACTCCCCAAACGCTTTGTCATCAGATTCATTAGTAGAAAAGCGCCTCTTTTCTTGATTAAAATGAGATCTTGAACCGTACTACACTAATCTTGCAAAAAATTCCTTACCATGCAATTTCAGTATTGTTTTCGTGATCAGCAAATCGGATAACCCCCTATGTCAAGTTCCAATGCAATCAATAGAATTCTATTTTTCCTGGATACCATATGCTACCGTAACCCTCACCGCAACGTCAGAATCTGGCAGAACAGCAGCTACATTCGCCATAATCCTCTCAAATTCACCCCGTTTGTGTCTGATTATTATTATTAATGCAAATGAAGACTACTGGCGCTTGTTAGATAGAGTAGAAAGAACGCGGGCACGCTTTTAACTTTGAGACTGAATATAGCCCTAACTGACTTTGATTATCTTGCCACCGCCCTTCCCACTTATAGATCATTACTGTAACTGTTGCTGAATGCAGTGCGCGCCCTATGCCACCCATTATACCTAATATCTGATATTGGCTTCCCGTATGTAGGAAATCTTTTAATTTCTTCTACACATACTGAAACTTTTTTACCTTGGAAAATATAGCATTGGCAGGGCACTAAGGCCCCGTTGAGAATGCTGAGCTGAATTCCGCCGAATAGTAACATATAATCCTTCCAATCGGCATTTCGCATCTTCAAAGGTAAAGATTTTGCAAGCTTCTTAAATGTACAAGTGCATGCAGCCTACCACATCCAGTAGTCCAGCAGTTGGTATCGTTCTCTTACGTTTGGAAAATTGGACTTTATCCAGCGGTGCGGCCTTCATCCTTTTCAGTAATCCAGTGCAGATTGGTATATATGTGACAGAATAAACAGCAACGGAGAGTAAGGCTTTTTCTCCTTCGCCCTCGCCGTGTTGCCATTGAGCTGACTTTAATAGCGGTACAGAGTTTTTACTTTATAACTCATGCAAATCAAAAGCAAGACGATTAGATCATCCAGCACAAAAAGCATGTTTTGCATCGCATAAATTCTTTTGTGCTCTCGCAGGATTGCACATGCGCCTCACTGACATTTGTCCTACAAGTCATTAGAAAAAAAGAAAAGACATCTTCCAAGTTTTAGAGTACTAATCCATTCCCCACTCCATAAAAATTTTCCTACGATAAAAGCTTTCCTTAATCCCCGCACCTAAGTACTGCTCTGAGCTTTCAATGTGCGTACTGAAGGCTGTTTTGTATTGTCTCCCTCTTCAAAAGGATGCTCCTTGTATGACTGCGGTGTGTGGAAAAAGATATGAAATTTCGTTTTTGCAACCAACTTATTTTCTCAACATTTTTTCAGAAAAACAGGAATGAGGAGATGTTAAGTCTCGTTGAACGTTATTATGAAAAAAAACAAGAGGATTGTAGCTTTTTCACGATTCGCGCCAACATGGTTTCGATTCAATAAGCCTAGCTCAATTCTAGTTTTGGCTCGCGATAGTGAATAAATCGTGTCACACTTTACCAAAGTTCAAGATTAAATTCCAAGCTTCCTTTTCTTCATATGAGTTCATAGGAGTTGGGCAAAGTGCTGTAGTTTGTTGGTAACGTTCTGACTCTCATTGCTGCCTAGAAAACAAAGTGTTTCTGCATAACTGCAAGTTACATCGAAATTAAGTATTTTATGCAAGTTTGTTTAAAAAGAACACCAGAAACATATGCACATGGATGCTAACAGAGTGGAACCTGTGCTTTACTACTATGTCGTAAACAAACACGAATGCTAAGAAAAGTTAAGGTTTGAAAACCATAGCACTGCTCTCATGAGCCTCCACCTAACCTTACAGTCATTAGGTAAAAAAAACTACAGGGTGTCCCGAAAGTCTTTAAGCCTAGTATTTTTTCAGCTGCGACTGTACGAAGCAACATTGACATATGAAATATAGAAGGAATCTTGTGAAGAACCTAAATAATAACAAGGTACACTTAGGTAGGTAGATTTCGAAAAACCCTCATTTGGCCTTCACGCAAGCCCTCACAGTCTTGCGGAACGCATGCACCGTGGCAGGCAAGTAATTGACGTCGAGGATGTCTCACACCTTCTGAAGCAAGCGTTCCAGACTGCCCAAAATTTAGCGTGGAACAGAGCAAACCTTGCTGTGCATAACTAATCACAGAAAAAAGTCAAAGGCTTTCGAGCCAGCGACTAAAAGCACGTTGATCTGAGAAGCGCGCCTATGAAATTTAACAAAAGTGTCAAAGCGTAGCAATCAAGTTCTTGAAAACATTAAGCAAACAGCAATTATGGTGTACATGGATTGACTTTAAAATGATGTTTCAGTAAACAATGCAGGGGTTACAGCCAGAATTAGTGACTCAAACTGAATTGGTGTTGAGTTTTCAGCTTTCTCGAATTTTTGTTCCCGAGAGCTTTTTTTTTCTTGATGGGACGGCACTACTTTAAGTGTTCGTATCTTAATCCTACATTAACGAACAAAGACCACTGATTAGTTTTGCACTGTAAACGTAAAGTAAAACTAGCTCTACGATATGCAGTTCAAGATTGCGCAAGAGCTTCAAAGGCAAAAAAGCCATAGATGTTTGAATAAAGGGTACGTTTACATTGAATCGTCCTCAAAACCGTAGTGCCATTTGCTCCAAGAGCAATATCTTGAGAATGTGCAACGCAAACGGTATGATTTTCTTGAGGAATACTGAAAACTAGACGAAGTATGCATGAGCAAAATCTGACCGATAGGCGCGAAATACTAACAAACTTACTACGTTGGAAAGTTAGGCTTAAACACTTTTGGGACACCCTGTAGTAGTGTGGAATGAACTTATGCGTAAATTTTATGAACCTTTTCGGGTCTTGAGAAATGTTTCAAAACCCTTAGTGTGAGGTAAATATACAAATAGGGCATGTTTCTTCAACTTTAAAAGAACGACATAAAGTCATTCTGTTCTAGAACTGCTTGAGCTGCGCATTGGAATCAGAATCTTCTTTGTTTGACTGACGCTGCGACTATGTATAGTGGCCAGAATGGAGTTTTTGACTCGGGCATGATGGAAAGGCTGATTCAGAATCCTGAAACAGCTGCCATGCACAGCCTGAGTTGGCATATCAACAGTGATCGCTCATCGGCAGTACAAAAAGCTTTCGCGCGAGAATGCGACCTTCTATTTCTGACATGAATACAATGGCCAATATCGGAGCTAGTTTCCCTCAAGGCCTCTCATTTCTTGTGATAGTGTACCCAGGCCAGTATCCCATAGGTGCCTCCGCAAGCATACGCAACGCTTGGCTTGATACTTCATATTTCGCTAATGATCAGAAGCTTTTCTACGCCAAAGTAAAATGATAAGTGGAAATGATAAGTGGAAAACCTCCGACACCCCACGAGCCTATGCAGAGATAGGTGTCTTGTTCAATTTCTCCTAGTTCTCAAGATCCGAAATATAATGGTTTGAAAATCCCATTCATAATTGGTAATAAATAGCAGAAAACGAGGAAGAAGAAACATCAATTTGAACATCGCTCTTCCGTGAAAGTAAAACATAAACCAGAAAGAGTGCTCAAACGAGCACATTGCACCTTCTTGGCTTATTCGGGGTACTTTGCATTGACTCAGAACAGGGCCCGGCACGAGGTGGGCAAATGACAAGTTGAAAATCGTTTTGGGGTCAAAAAGCAAAGGGGATATCGTTTTTTCAAGATCTTGGGCGGAGTCCCGGAAGAAGATTCCAAGTGCAAGAAAAAGAAGGTTGAATCATGCTTATTTTATACATCTAATTCATTAGGAAGTAGTATTCATAAATCTCAACGCACAGCAGAGTTCGCGCGCTACGCCGCGTTGCCACTAACTGCCGCGTGCGCGAAGTCGCATGAGCGATGCCGATGAACAGTATGATTACATGATCAGTTCTCAATGCAGGCGCAACGATATAGCACCAAATTATGTAAGCGAACGAAGAGAGGCTAGTAGAAACAAAGTATGAAATATTAGGTCGTTCCGAAAGTAATGTCGCTTTTTTCGAATGAACGCCACTATTCGTGAAATCAACGTTTTCAAGAGATCTTAGAAGCATTCGATGCAGCACTTCATCCTCTTTCTGATGGTTCTAATTTCGCTGCATATTACCAAAATCTGCGACTCATGCTTTTTGCCATTGTCAAGTTCGGCTATTTTTCTAAATTTTTGTACCTATTCTCCGAAGATGTGCAAGTGACAGTTAGATAAAGCAAACCCTGAAGGACACAGGATAATTTTTCCTTCTCCTTAGCCTGCTTCTTAGAGTTTCTACAATCAATTTTTCGATGCTATCAAATTGCATATTTGGTCAACTTAAACCACACAGAACAACAACCAGCAAGCAACCCAGGTGTCATTCGACGCAGCTTTTTCTCCTCTTTTTACTAGTTTTTTGTTTCCGATTCATCAAGTTTTCCGAGATAAAATCATCATAATTCAACTTTTCCAAGGCACCCCAAGGTGTAGCCGAAATTTCCAAAAGTTGCTAAACCGAAGCGGTGAATGCTCGTTTGGTTTGTAAAATTGTTGCCAAACCATAATCCATTTTTGTAACTTTCAAAATCTGGAGACTTGCTGGCGTTTGATGCACTTTTGTCTGAGACGAGCCTGCTAAAATTCGGTGGTTCCATCAAAAAATCTGTACAAAAATTATAAAGAGCTCTGGAAAGTAGAAAAAAGTTGTGCTGTTTCCTGTAGGGTTTGCTCTATCCATCCATCACTTGGACTTCTTTTGAGGTTCGTTATAAAATTTTAGAAAAATTGTGAAACTTGGCCATCTCAAATAGCATAGGCCGCAGATTTTGACTTTTTTCTGGAAGCTCATTGACCGTATTGCAACAATTTCTTAACCGTTAGAAAGAGAATGAAATGCTGCATAAAATGCTATCCGAATCTCCTACACACCTTTGTTCCACGAGATGTGGCATACGTTTGAAAAAAGCGACATTACTTTCGGAACGACCTAATATTATGAAAAACTTATGTGAATGGGAAAAGTAATAAGCATTTTTTCCAAAAAAATTGCAAAAGGTAAATGAAGATGTGAATTCAAATGGCTCGTTTGCAGCGCACATATGGACATACGCTATGAAACGTGGAAGGTATATGAGCACGGGCCTGCAGGGCTTAACCTAGAAATTTCATTGAAAAATTATGTGACTGAAGGTTGTGGCAAGCTATTTTCCGAAAATTTCCCACTTTCAAGAAAATGGAAAAATGGCTCGTTTGCAGCGCAGAGAAAACGAAATCGCGCGAAAGCTGGTGTGTATACGCGCAGTAGGACTAAGGAACAATGTATGAAAAATTATGAAAGACTTATGTGAGTGAAGAGCGTCCCCTACTTTTTTACAAATTAGGTGGGCAATTGCCCACCTAATGCCCACCTGAGGTGGGCAAAACTTCAATTCACATAATTTTTTCAAAATTTTTACATAAATCTGTTGTACACCTAAAGTTTACTACACGGCGAGATTTTGGTTCCGAAACTCCTCCTCTTGTCTTTGTTAGAGCTCAAAATCGCATCAGCAGCCTAGCTTTCTAAGATGGAAAGCGCCCCCCAGTCAATCGGTACGCGCTGGAACGGCGTCTCTCGGTTCAATGACTGCGTTACTTTGATATTTTTTCATTCCTTCATCATTTTTCTTGCTTATTCTTCTTCCTGTTTTCTATCTTGATGCAGGTGAGGATTAATTAGAAGAATTTGAGCATTTTGGGCGCTATTGAGCGCTTTTAGGCGAAGTGTGGCCGGTGCTCTCGTTGCACAAGCACAAAGCGTCATTTCGGCTCAAGGGGGTTTCGTAAAAAATATTGGGATCGAAGGGGAATATTCGTTTTGGAAAACCCCGTCTGCCCACCTCGTGCAGGACCCTGACTCAGAATCGTCAAAACTCTGAAAACCTATACAAGGGACAATCTTGGAAACTATCGTAGAAATATACTCTCAAGAATCGGTCGAGTCTGAGCTATTCAAGAAATCGAAAGTCATTCAATAGAGAATCTTGACACTAAAATGCGGCTCATAACGGTACGAACATTTCTCTTTTAGAAGCTCCGCAACCTTTTGAAAAACAACTCTAAAACCATTGGTACTGCATAAAAAAGCATAGCCAAAAGCGGTATACGGTATAGGCGGCACAACAATGAAAAGTCCGTTCAGTCCCGTTCCCGTTCATTCCCGTTTAGGTATGTTTCTGCAAAATTCTCTGCAAATTGATAGAGCGTTTGGGCGAGTTGATGGTCATATGTTCCTCATCTCTGACGAGTTGGCCGAAACGTTAGCCTAATAAATATTATAATAATCATGGATAAGGTAGACATTTGCCAAAGGAAACTGTTAATATGCCAAGACTCACCGAAAGTCGTACATAGAATCTGATTGTGAGTACTGTTTTTACTATTGCAATCAATCACCCTTGGTTTTTAGCTCCAAACAATTGAGCTTAGCCCTGCAAAAAATGCAAAAACTTCAGAACGATATATCATCAAGCAAGCAATGCAGCAGCTCAATTAGAAATCTTTGCGCGGAACAAAAGCTGAGTTTTGGGGCTTGAAATGATGCTAACTCCGGAGTAAGGTTGACACTTGGTTGGGAAGCACAACGTGCACACGAGATTTTTCAAGCGTCAAACAGAATATCTATCGAAAAAGCTTAGTGTATCTTAAAACTTCAAATGATAAATTCATTTCTAGATTAACAAACTTCTTCCTCTTTAGGCTGTATACAAATTCACTTACAAGGGAAGTTCACTTACTCGAAGTGGCGATTTGGAAGGAAATCTATACCAGTGGATGGAGCTTGAAACCTTGATCTCACAAGGAAAGGATACCAACATTAGTTGGCGATTGAAGATGAGATGTATATTAGTAGACGCGCCCTTGAACGCTGATTCCAAATCTGCTTTCCTTTTTTGCGGAATAAGTTTCCGAAAGAAGTTCTGGACGTTTATATGTCCAAAATTGTCATGGTTTAGGTGGCCTAAAACTGGCGAAAAGCTGTACAAAAGCACCGGAAAGTGATAAATCATTTTTGGATGGAGTATATTGTTTGCAAGGAAAGAACGAAACCGGTGGAAATTGCATAGGTGTTTTTTAGAGCTTTTCGCTGATTTTAAGCCACTCAATGCTTGGCAAATCTGGACATTCAAACGCTTATAATTTCTTTCGGAAACTTATTCCGCAAAAAAGGAAAGCAGATTTGGAATCAGCGTTCAAATGCGCATCCAATGATATACATTTCATCTTCAATTGCCAACTAATGTTGGTATCCTTCCCTTGTCAGATATACCTTCTATATCTGCGATGCACTGTTCTGAACAAAGTTATGAGCTTTTGGAAAGCTAAATTTTCTTGCATTTTGAGTCGCAAAATCATGTCAATTTCACAAAAGTGTGCAAGCTCAAGCAAACCACCTAGTGAGCACTGTAGGTTTAACTCAAATTCATCCGAACGTTTTCGAGTGTTTTCCGATCATGTTGTTTATCCACAGATCGCCATTTCCTTCCTAGATCACACTTCCATTATATATACAAAAAAAGCCCATAATCTCCATCTAGAAGAACGCGTCACAGATATTGAAGATATATTTGAGAACATCGTTTTACGTCTTATCCATTGGTAATTTCCAAAAAGTTTCCGACGCGACGCGTTTTTCTAGATGGAGGTTATGGGGCTTTTTTGTATACATAATAAAATTGTGATTTAGGAATGAAATGACGACCTGTGGATGAACAACTTGGTCGAAAAACACTCAAAAGCGTTCGGATGAACTCGACTTAGACCTACAATGCTTACTAGGTGGTTTGCTCAAGCTTGCACACTTTTGTATAGAGATTATCTTGATTTTACGACTCAAGACGCACTAAAATTTTGCTTTAAGAATGCTCGTAACTTTTTTTAGAACAATGCATCGCAGATATAGAAGGTATATCTGAGATCAGCTTTTTAAGCTCTATCCTGGTATAGATCTCCTTCCGAATCGCCACTTCGACTAAGTAAACTTCCCTTGTTAGTTAGTCAATCCGAATGTAATTTGTGCAAGTTAGCCCATTCTACTTATCTGCAATCGAGTTTCAACTTTCTGCACATGATAATCCGTTATCACCCCCCTCCTCCACTCACCCATTATAGAGTTCCATGTTTCATAAGGGCGCCAACGAATTAGAGTTTTAGCATTACTATATTCTAGCAGTTTACGCTTTTGGGCACAAAATTCATAGCAATGTTTACTTCAATGATCTGAGTGGCATCGGAAAGAGCAACAAAAACGCTTCCACATACACAGCTATTATTACGCAAGTAATTGGTCAACTCTTATACCTGCATTGAACATAGCGTAACAAAAACTGACAGAACTTTCAGGAACCCAATGTGATGGAATGTGCGTGATTATTCCAAGGTCCGTGTATAACCACCGTGTCCACCGGGTTCTAAGATTCTTAATTTTGGCACCTAGCCAAAATCTCCAAAACTTACTCCCCAGTTGTAAATCATACTTTGCTCTAATTTTTGATGTGACACACAACACTCATGCACTTTGCGATGTTCCCTACCGAACGTGACAGCGGTTGCAATGTCGCTTTCGTTCCGATGGCGAACGAAGCAATGAGAGCGTGCCTGCTGCCGATTCGCCTGCGCCACGTTTTTTTTTGCGTCTTTCAATGCATACGGAATACTCATCACATTTATAGATGAGATCAGAACAATACCCAGGTATAAGTTAGTTATAAAGCACCATAGATTAATAACAAAGAAAATGGGAAAAACAAGAAAAGCTAGTCAAACATCAGCATAATCCGAGAAGTATGCATGTTGCAAGGCTCCTTCGGCGTCCAATCGACCATTCGGATTGCAAACGAGTAGCTTCTGCAATGAAACTCAGTATTAAGGGCTCGACGTAGCCAACAATTTCGGCCAAAATCCAGCGTTTTTGCACAAATTAAAAAATTGCCCTCCTCCCATTGTAACTATAAACTTTGACAAAAACTTCGTTCCCACTCCCCCTAAATTCCTAACCGTCCTGGCGGCGAACCAAAACTCATCATCGAGCTTATGTCCCAGATAGATACAAACTAAGTTCATTATCTCAAACGCCGCCAATTATGCTTCAGAAAAGAGCATAATTGCTACTAGCTGGCTTACCCGGCTCCGCCGTATCCGGACCAAACTTGGCACACATACACTTCGGGCCCCGGCGGGTGTCACAGTCCACTTTTCGTTATCGATCGATGTCGAATTTACCGATTTTTATCGATTTTTTGCAGAGTTAACCTACAGGGCTAGGAGTTGGCACAGGGGGGGGGAAGTGAGCATGGGGATTCCGAATACAATATTAGTTTTCAGAATTATCGATTACTTTTATTGATTTTATCGATTTTTTGTAAATTTTGACATGCGAGGCTGGGATTTTGCACAGGGGGGTAATCGAGCATGCTGATTACGAACACAATATTAGTTTTCGGGATCGTCCATTACTTTTATCGATTTTATCGATTTTTTTGTAAAGTTTGACCTGCGGGGCTGGGAGTTTGCACAGGGGTAATCGAGCATGCAGATTACGAATACAATATTAGTTTTCAAGATCGTCCATTACTTTTATCGATTTTATCGATTTTTTGAAAATTTGAGCTAGGGGCTAGAATTTGGCACAGGGTGTAATCAAGCATGCTGATCACCCCCCTTGGGGATGATCAGCATGCTCGATTACCCCCTGTGCCAACTCCCAGCCCCCTAGCTCAAACTTTGCAAAAAAATCGATAAAATCGATAAAAGTAATCGATAATCCCGAAAACCAATATTGTATTCGGAATCCCCATGCTCGATTACCCCCCTGTGCGAACTCCCAGCCCCGTAGCTCAAACTTTGCAAAAAAATCGATAAAATCGATAAAAGTAATCGATAATCCTGAAAACCAATATTGTATTCGGAATCCCCATGCTCGATTACCCCCTGTGCCAACTCCCAGCCCCGTAGCTCAAACTTTGCAAAAAAATCGATAAAATCGATAAAAGTAATCGATAATCCTGAAAACCAATGTTGTATTCGGAATCCCCATCAGGGCCCGGCACGCGTTGGTTCGAGGTCAAACTGGACTTCGTTTTTGAGGGTGAAAGCAAAGGGGACTTCGTTTTTATGAGGTTCTGGAGGAAGCGCCAAAAAAAAAACACGACGAACATGTCAGGTTTTACGGGTTGAACGTGTTCTTTCGCAAGCGCGCGAATTTCAAATGCAAGACTCAAACAAACAAATGGCTTGTTTACAGCGCACAAACAATCACATGGCTCCGAATTTGGGCTATGTGTATACAATACTACTCCAAACTATGTTATGCAAAAAGTTCCAAAAACTTATGTGTCTGAATACCCGTTCCGGATTTGTTGGTTTCAAAACCAACCACCGAACCAACTGGGTTGGTTCGGAGCATAAATTTCGGAGAGTTCACATAAGTTTTGGACCTTTTTGGTTTGGACGATTATAGCGCTCAAAAATCTATTATATGGTGAAGAGAGCAAATCAAACCATGGCCTCTGCTCTTTTTACGAGCCAAATATAATATGAAAATAGAGGCTTTGATAGATATTATGCTCCAATCACATGTGTGTACCGGCGCCCTTTGAAGTGGCGCCAATTGCATCATTTCATTTTTTTGTCTCGTCATGTGCTCCTCTTCGTTTTCTTCTCTTTCCGTCTCTTTGTGTCGTTTTCTGTCTTCTTCTTTGTTTTTAATATTCTTTCGTTTCAGAAAGTATTCGCAATGGAGGCGAAAGAAGTCAACAACAAGAAAGACGGATGGTACGACAAGAGCCAGACAAGGTGGGTTTAATATTGATTTGATTTTTCATTGTTTGATTTGTTAGCTTGACTCGCTATTCCACATTAGGCCTCGGGCAGAATTTACGCGATTTGGTCGTCGCGATTGAACGCGACATGTAAACTTTGACATTATCATTGCATGCCGATCTTCTTGCATTTCGGTTGTGATAGTTTTCCAACACGACTAACTGTGACTTACTATCACAACCGAGATACAAGAAGATCGGCGTGCAATGAACTCGTAACACTTGTCTTTAGCGATTGAATCGCGACGACCAAATCGCGTGAAGTCAAGGCTAGTCGAGGTGGCTGAATCAGACTATTTCTGATTTCGCAGTATGGATGTGTGCATCACAACTAGGCTGTGCAACTCTTTTTATGTGGTGTACAAGTGTTTTGTCGATTATGAAATATCATTGATTCAATAGTTTTGGCATTCTTGTTGTTCACAAAACGTTGCCCATAAAACTTGCGCGTAAAAATCACTATAGGCGGGCTCTGGCGAGGTGCCTTTCCGAAAATGCAAAGAAAAAAGGTCAGAAATAGTGAGACTGAAAATTGCTTACGAGAAGACATGAAACTAAAAGGCGTAAGTCTGAGCAAGAACGGTTGATGAACATAGGACTCAATCATTGTGATGGTCAAACAGCCGATGCACTGTACGAAAACTTTGATGAAACATCCAAAATTCCACACTCGCCATGTGTTTCTTATTATTCTTCACGCACCTAATGCTAGTAACGAAGTAACTGATCTATTTCGGAACTTACCGTGCACAAAGAAGTTGTTGAAGCTGGGTTTGCACTTTCTTGTTGTTTCAATCTTGTTTAGTAGCGTGCAAGTGCAGTATTTTCGAAACACGCGGAAATATTGCACAATCTTTCCAGAAGTTTCGAAAATACTGCCCACCCGTGCAAAACATCCATCTTACTGCTTTGCTTTCTTGCCCATTAGGTTGGTTCAAGAATTGTGACGGATGAAGAAGGCGATTTTGAGCAGAAATTACTTAGTAACGAAACTAATGGCAAATTTTCAGTATTCTAATGGTATTTTTTGACTTTTTTAAGTAATTTTTATGTCTGGTTTTGTGTGGACTCCACTTCTACAATTTTCAAAGTTTCCCATTCTTTGTAATAACGTTGACACTTTGCGAATGAAGGATTTACGTATACACAGTTGATTCATTTCATATGATGATCATGTGTGCCATTGCACACACCGTCCATTTTTGGCGTTACCGTCCTGGATTCTTGGTCATTTGGGCAATTGGTCACTCTCTCGCGTTTTTGCGATCAGAATTCCAGGATGAGGACGCCAAAGATGGACGGTGTGTGCGGGTGCACACATGATCATATGAAATCAATCGACTGTAATTGGCTAAAAGATTCTCATGGGAGCATGTGCACATTTTCCTCTAATTGATTAAAGACTGAAGAAAATTATCATCAGTTTCTAAGTCGATGTGCTAAAATAGAAATTTGATGTCGTTGCTCATTGTATTTGCGTTTAATTGTTCTGCAATCAGAAGCATATCTGTACCTTTGCTTAGCGAAGATATTTGTTAGCACGTTTTCTGCTAAGTTGCTCAAAAAAGTTCATTAACGTAATTGGTCGGTGCAGTTTCATTCCAAAGGTCTGATACAAAACGTGGCGAAAATGCGCATTATGTTTGATTTGCGTTCATGATGGCCGTTGGGCTGAAATTTACCACCCCTCTCCACTACTGGCGATTTGCCAAATCGCGTCGGAATAAAATCGCATGAAGTATGCCCGGCCTTTTAGTTTACTCATAAAATGAAAATCGTGAATTTCGCTAAACCTTCAACTTTTTTTAGATCTCTTGTGGGCTTCAAATGTATTGTCGTCCTCCTGTTTCTCTCTGCCATTACGCCCGCATATGGCCAGTATTTGTCGGACAAGGGGGTGTACCAGCAACAGCCTATGGTGAGAACTTTAAAGTTTGAGTTTCAAACAAATATTTTATCCTGCTTTTAGCTTGTGCAACCGATAAGATGTGATTGTCCGACATTCGGCCTCGCAGACGCTTTTGCACACGCCAGGAACTTCCTTCTTCTTCTCATTTCATTTTTCTATCAATACCGCTCTGTGAGTTTGAAATTCTTTCTAAATTTCTATAAACAAAAATCTTATTCAGGCTAAACAGAACCGTGATGGCAACAACAACAACGCCCGCCAGGACCCAATTGCGCCCCCGCAGAATGCACTGATTTATCACCAGCTTCCTGCACTGATGCCCAAGAATACGAACCCCTTCGTGCCTTAGGCCACGAAGGGGTGCCCCCCCCCCCAAAACCAATGACGCGACTTTTTTTGACGTGCATCTCTTGCTATCTCTGCTAAAATGATTTCGCTTGATACTTCGCAGTTCAATCACTGAAAGTTCTAACATTCCCACAAGGTCTGCGAAATTTACTTAGTCACAGTTTCTGCTCTTATTTTTGGCCTAGAAAACCTAAACGTTACGAAGTCGAGTACTAGATCTAGGATACGCTTTGCTCAGGACGCACAAGGTCTACAAAACTCACTTCATCATAGTTTTGCTCTTATTTTTGGCCTACAAACCTAAATTCGTCACGAAATCGAGTATTAAATCTAGGATGCGCTTTGCTCACGACTGAAATCCACTTCGCCTTCAAATGAAGTCGTCGTTATTGGTAAGATCTCCTCTTGATCTCGTGGGAACTAACTCACTCTGATTGCTCACTTTTTCTGAAAAGCCTTTCGTACTTCTTTTTGCCTTTATTGTGTTCTTTTTTTTCAAGATCGGTAAATGCCTTTCTTTATGTTCGTAGTTGCATGAATAAAGTTTTTTTTTCTTGGAACAAGTTTTATTGACTTTTAAAGGCTTGGCAATTCCGGTGTGCTAATTTTGGGGTCAAAGGGGACTTCGTAAAAATTTTCGGAGTCATGGGGGACTTCGTTTTCAAAAATCCTCCAAACCAACGCGTGCCGGGCCCTGATCCCCATGCTCGATTACCCCCCTGTGCCAACTCCCAGCCCCGTAGGTAAACTCAGCAAAAAAATCGATAAAAATCGATAAAATCGATATCGATCGATGACGAAAAGTAGCCTATGACACCCGCCGGGGCCCGAAGTGTATGTGTGCCAAGTTTGGTCCGGATCGGTTCAGAAATGGAATTTTCTATTCGGAACATACGTACACACATACATACATACAGACATACATACATACAAACAGACATTCAGCTTTATATATAAGATTAGTGCTTCACAAGGTACTCTATAGTACATGCTAACAACGGCAGCTACCTTTGCTAGGCTGACGAAAACTCTCCTCAAATGCTTCGTGTTTGAGATTAGCCTCATTACCTCACCACACCAGAATACCAATTTTCAAACAAGGTTTTTGGCGAAAGTGCTGGATTTGATCCGCAAAGATATGAAGCTTCAGAGATGATCTGAGTGTGCAAACGGTTCTAACGATAAGATCTCCTCAGAAACATAGCCTAAGATATTAATGCTATGGAAAACTCGATGGTTTTGAAAAATCATTAGGAATTGGCAGGCAAGCCTCTTTGCTCGGAAAAATCTCGTCCCATCCAAGGTGAAATTTTCAGAGGTGGACTACATGAGCTAGACAAGTCACTTATTATTACTTGCGAATGATTGGAATGATGTTTTAAACATGGTAAAAATTCAGGGCAGCTATGTGAAAAGGTAATCGCCTGACTTGGAATATCGGGATTACAGAGCCGCAAAAGATTTGAAGATCAAAGCGAAGAAACTTTTCAAAGGGCGTGGCTAACGTCGCTACGCCTCTTCGTTCATGAAGCAAATGCATTCAGCTGTTGACAACAACACAACCTTGTGCATGAGATACAACATAGATTTCGTTGACGAGAAAGCTTTAATAAGAGTGCTAACTTGAAAAAAAAATGCAAAACAATGTGTTTTTGCATGCTAAAGGTGACAGAAGTTGACCAAACTCTATTTCTTTGCGCTCCCGTAATCAAATCCTTCGTCACCCCAACATTAGCGCTACTGGAAAGAAATGCTATGGAATGTTTGAGATGATAGCTCATTAGGTTTAGTCAATGATACTTGCCTGCGAACATTTAGCAAGTTGACGCAATTATGGATTTAGTGATGTTGACATTGATTTACCCCGTTGATAGAGTGTAGAGAATTGAAGGTTCACTTATTTCTTTCAAACAACCACGGGTGTTCGCATGACCATGAATGGTGGGATAAGTAACAACGATGCGAAGCAAAAAAAAACAAAGTTTCAAAGAAAGCTACCTATATTGCTATAAGAGACTGTTGTGAAGGAAAAGGAGAGGAAACGCCCAAACTGGAGACATTAGGTAGCGTAGAAACGTCTTTCTTGCACCAGACAACTACGAACCCTCCTCTTGCTTGTCTCCGACTAGTATATCCGCTGAACCCCACATAGAGACAGACGTGAGTAACATGTGTACATTGAGAGAGGCGAATACACCAAGGGTCCGTCTTCCACAAGCCTAGCAGCTAGCTCATGCGAAATTTATAACAAAGCCGGATCACAACAAATATGGTGACTGAGTATATTGGCAGTACTGCACAACGATACTGTCTCCAACGCTTTTTCCAATTGAGTAATTTAGTTCCAAGGTAAGAGTGCAGGCAGTAGCTTATTTAGGAAGGATGTTGCTTGGTGAGAGAAGCGATGCTTTGCTAAGATGCGGTCTCTTCCAAGAATGTCGTACCTCTCAGAAGAGATAAAAGAGTACGTACTATTTAGGAAGCCCAACTCCGTGAGAGGCACAAAATTTTTCATTACCATCTGCGGCCATGCGCCGAGCGCCACATATTGTACAAGCGCTTATTGAGTGTCGCGCTCGGAGCGGCTCAGGTCCTCAGCCGCCTCGCTTGGGCCACTCTCCGCGTTCGCCAACGAGTCTCGGGGCATTTCGCATACTTTATTTTCCACGCCTGAAGCGTGGGAAACACCGTATCCAGGCGTCAATGGCTAACAAGCTTGGGAGCCTTGAAACACGTTCACGCGTGGGAGGGGGTGGCCCAAGTGAGGCGGCTCGCGTGCGTGCGGTACATAGAGACAACTCTGTTCACATTCAGCGACATATCACCATCATATTTATATCATATTAAAGCTCTTGATCTCTACTTCCACGCTGACAACGTCCCAAAACTATAATTTTGATTTGAACGAGAAATCTGGCAACCGAGTTTCCGAAAATCTCCAGCTTTGTCTTCATTTTAGTTCTTTTCATGCGGTTTTTCTGTATTTAGTAGATCTTGCTTCCGTCTACAGTGTAAACAATCGCAGACATTACATCTTCGATTTTGGTCGAATATTTGATGAAAAACTTTGAAAGTGCATTTTTGTTCACAGATATTGTGGTAAACAACCAACACTTTCAAGTTGGAGGCATCTTGCTCAGCGCAATGAGCAGAACAAAGCTGGCAATGTCGCTAGAAACAAAAACAACGAAAAAAGGTCAAAACGTAAAGAACGCATTAGAAGCTAGATTGGTTTCGACGTGCATTCGACGTTATAGAAGAGCTTTGAGTTTTCATAGCCAATTCTTTTCTTGTTTATCTCCTTACTGATAATCTTCCAAAACTTCCAAAACATGTTTGTTGAAATAACCACAAAGAATTAGCTTTTACTCGTCTTCCCCGTGTTGTGATTGCTCGGTCGTGGAACGAGAACCAGCACGCAGGCCGTCAAATGAAAGATTTCAAGCGTTGCAGCGTTTTTATCCGGTTTTTGACCCAGCTTTTGCTGATTGTTTCGCATCTTTTCTCTTCTCTAATTTTATACAAACAACCTTCACTTTCATGGGGGGGGGGAAGAGATATTCGAACAACCTTCAGTGAGGTATCTTAGGCTATCGAAAATGCTCGCGAGGATCCAAGCAGCGCCGCCTCGACGCCCAGAATGGGATTCCCTCTACTTCAGAGTCGAAGAAGCTATTGTAAAGCGTATTAATATTTACTTGCGAAATATCTGGTTATCAAGTCAGTACTTCAATCCTCCCACGTTACTAGGTACTAATTTACCATCCCAGAAGTGTAACGGACTCGGTTGGAAAAAAGGTGGGAAATCAGATTTTAATTATGCCCTGTCTAGCCACTAGTCATGCCACTCCCACCATCAAGTTGTGCTATTGGGCCCATTACCACATTACCCATTACTCAGATGATACTTACCCATTACTCAGATAATACTGCTTATGTTCTTATATTAAGTTGAAGCAAAAGTGAACTCCTGGTTGAAATAGCTCCTATTTTTGATTTTGATACTTTTAGGGTATCATTCGTTAGAGCAGATCAAGCTCTACATAACCAACGCCAAGTATCCGCCTAAGTCGCATTCCGTATAGAGTTTGAAGCCAAAATCGAAAAAATTTCGGCTTTCAGACTATCTTTACTTCTCAATTTTGGGCCCCAAAAAAAATCCACCAAATACATTTTTAGGTACTACTATGTGTCTACTATATAAAGACCAAGTTGGAAGTCCGTAGGGATTTTCTCGAAGAAGATTCGATTTTTAGGGTACTATAGCTTTGATTTTTGGCTCCGAATCCAACACGCTGATGACAGTGCCGCGCAATGGTGCACGGAAGGCAGTCTATCTCTGTGGACGACGCTGCGCAATAATGCGCGGCGGCCTTAATTTCAATATGGTATGTCCAATCCTCTCAGTTTTTGTTCATATAATCAACATAAGCTTAGATGTGCTTCATGTATTAGCCCCACCCCTTTGGCAAACTCCGCCCATTCCCATACTTCTCACAGGGACCTTTTTTGTTCATAAAAGCATAGATGAGGCCGTAGATGAACGCAAAGACCTCATGCAACTTTTAGCCAGGCTCCGCCCACCGTCGGGAACCCCGCCCCCTAAGTGGCAAGCTCCACCCATTTTCAAAAGTGGCGGAATTCGCATCAATATTTAAAATATGGGCAATTTCCGACATTTTTCGCCCGAGTGGGCGGGGCTTGCCACATGGGGGCGAGCCTTGCACATTTTATATTTCGTGCATGGATGCATGCACACATACATGCGGCCAGGAGTAGGATGCACGGGAACATCTCGTCCATAGGGACAGACCTCAAAAAAAAATGGCTCGTCGTCAACTTTTAACATGGATTACGACTTGGGTGAATCTTTAGTGGTTTTTTTGTAGAGCTTGCTCCGCTTATCAAATGCTACCATGAGCCCGTTAGGGAAGCAAAAACAGCTCAATTTATATGAAAATGGAGTTTACTTTTGAGACAACCTATTACTGCAGCTCTTAGCTGCCTAAGCAAGACTTCGTTGCTCAAAACTAATCTTTGCTAATGTAAACGACTACACGACAATCGATAGTCGGCGCCTAGTGGTCGAGGACGTCCTCATTACCAAACGACCAAAAAACATCCCAACACACGTTGACACCTCACTCGGTCCGTGTCCGTTCCCGCGCTTTAGTGCAACCAACCGTGAAAGAAACGATTATGGAAACAGTGCCTGCGAGCGGGTAGCTTGGCAACCATGCTAAATTGGGCAAATGTACGTCACACAGATAATAGGATGAGTTACCACTAGTGATTTGCATGGCATGCGTAGAAGTGTCATGTCAAAAACAATAAACTAACTCAGATAATTTCACTTGTGATACTAAGCAAAGGGACCATTTGGTTGAGGATTATTAGCAGTGGTTTGGATATAATTGACTGAATGCTTGCCAAATGGGCTGGATGTCCTTTCTAAAGGACAGAACTACATGAAACATTTATCGTACCGTTCAATCCCGCGTTCAATCCCTTCACCCCATTTTTTCTGTCGTCCACTCCCCCCTCCCGGGAGACGGTCAAGAGGCGCGATTTTTCCGGCTGTCACCAAATCAAAACTTCAGTTTAGTGCCACGCGAGTCTTCAAAAAATACCAAATGAAGTGCATTAGCTTACCATCTGTCTGTGGCTACCGTTTGCTGAATTTGAGGGCTTTTGTTTTGAAACGGACCGAAATAATCAAGAATTTGTTCTTAACTGTATTTTCTTGGATTTTTGGCCTTCATAATTGCTGTTTTGAATTGATTCTAAGGTAGCAAGATTGAGGAACCCATGCAACTATCTAATACATCTCTTTCTAAAATTTAAGTCCTTTCAGAATGTTGTAAAACACTCATTGTGCGCTATTTGATGTCCATCTGGCAATAAAAATCGCGCCTCTTGACATACAACCTCCCCCCCCCCCCTCCCCACCCCCTTCCTCGCCCCTCCGGATCAGACTTGACTTTTCCACAAATTATTGAGTTTATACCTTCCAAAAGAAAAATTGTAACAGTATAATAATCCCAACAATTTTTCAAAAGTCTATAATACTGCAAAAAGCGCAGAAATGCCAATTTCTATGGCCCTCGCAGATCAGAGTAATTACGAAGCATCTCTGTGGCTGCTACGCCAAGAATTTATTCCTGATGGTTACTATAAAAATTTGGAAAAAAACGGTCTGTGGATATGCAAAATTTTGCCCGCAGTCCTCCACAATTTGATCAAAATGCCTCGTATAGCAAATATTCTTTAAACCTAATCCAACGTAAAAGCATGGATCCTATATAAACTTCAGCACATAAAAACAATTTGATGTCCCTTCGAGTGACTTAACTTCCGTTGATCTTTTAGCTTTCATAGTTCTTCAAGTGGTTGTATAAATTAACAGTACTTCTCGGCAAATTCTTTTCACTCACAAAATGCCTGTCAGTAAGTTCCATATTAGGCTGAAAAAATTTACCTGTAGAAGATCGCGTCCACTAGCTGACATATTCGGTACTACTTGACCCCATGTCATTGCTGGATGATAAAGCGGCATGGGCTAAAAAGAGAAAGATTTCAAATCTGATGAATTCCATTTCAAAATCCATGAGTGCGTAAAGGATAAAATTTGATTCCATGTTGTCATATTCTCATAACCTTGGTGAAAAGCTTCCTAAAGAATGGCACAAATTCTTGCGTTTTTCCTGGGGAAAGTTCTTTTGAACACACCACACCCAGCCATAAAAACTTCCCTCACTAAGCTTTCTTCATAAACCACTTACTGGCTGACAAATCCCACAAAATTATCCATTTTTATTTCTTCTCATTCGAGGGAAGTGGAAGCAAAATTTTATCCTTAATCCAGAAGCGTGAAAATATTTCTAAGCATCCTCACTTTGAAGTCAGGCAACTGTGACAATCCGGGCCAAGTATCGTCAGTAGGTGTGCCTAACTGTTTGAAAATTCTCTTCAGTTGATCATCAACATCAGCTCCCGGAAAAAGCGGTCGGCCAGCGTTTGAAATCTCTGCAAATATACTCTGACACGTCGCTGAAAAACCCTGCAATTTAAAATGGTGAGAAATGAAAATCTGTTTGGCCATACCGGCAAATATGCATCCAGCTGACCACATGTCAATAGAAGTATTGTACAATTTCGCCCCAAATAGTACATCAGGCGGTCGATACCATAAAGTCACTACCTACAACATGTAATCAAATTTGATAAAAACGTTTTTGAAAATGTGATGTACTCACTTCAGCACTATAACACCTAACAGGAACTCCAAAGGCTCGAGCAAGGCCAAAATCTGCCAATTTCAACTGCCCATTTGAGTTGATAAGCAAATTTTGCGGTTTAAGGTCACGATGGAGAACATGATGTGCATGACAAAATGCTAGTCCACGCAACAATTGCAACATCAGCGATTTGGCCATCTAAAAAATACCTACATAATTTCAAAATTTTTGAAAAATCATTTTAAAACTATTGTCTCGCCTGCTGATCAATGTGTCCATTGAGTGAATCGAAAAATTTCTTGAGGTCCTGATCACAATACTCAAAAACTAGCGTCAGTTTACTTTCAGAGTATATCACATCATATAGTCGCACAACATTCCGATGTTTCAGCTCTCTTAGGATGCAAACTTCCCGTAAGGCAGAACTCGGGACACCCTGCAAAATAAAGAGACAAAATAAAACAGTTCATTGAACTTCAGATTTTGCAAGGCTGTGATGTCCTGGAAGAGTATGGATGTCCTGAAGTAAGTGCTAAAGGTGCAAAGGCGCAGATGTCGAAACTTTCAAAGAATTTTCTCATCGCTCTTTTCCCATCTTTGACCACGAGATTCTCAAACTTGGGTTTTTGGACACATCTACATTCCAGCTGAATCTCAAATTTCAACATTTCAGTGTGTTACGCTCTTTTTAGATATCCTAAACTTTCCCTTGCAAGCAGACCAAGATATTGATCATTAAAAAAATTTTTGAGCCAAAAAAAAGTTTTCTTATCAAAAATCTAAATCCTGCATCATGCTTTTGAACATTTCTTGTACTCAAGTATTCCAACTTCATCTTACCAACTGACTTATTTAATTTCATAGTTGAGCCTTCCAATATACGATTTTTTTTTACTTACTTTGCCTTATTTCCCAGATGTAGAGCCTAACATCGAAGCTAAAGCTTTACTGAAACCCTCACCCACACATTGAAACCAAATACTTCCCCCAATTTAATCGCAATACTACTGCGCCCCCAATAAAAAAGGCCCAAATGCTGGATTGTTGCCAGGAGCACTGCAGTTAGGCAAACAAGCGTTCAATGTTTGCACTAGTGGGCCGTCGGCATTAGCGTACGGCCGACCATTGTTATTTTGCTTCCATTAGTTACATGAGTTTTTCAACGCGAGTACAAATCATCGCATAAAGGCTACAAATTTGTCAATTTTGACAATAAATTCAGTATGGGAGAACAAGCAAGCTCCCTGTCTCTCTTTTCGATTGGATGAGCGGTGAACCAATCGAATGAAGGGAATCAAATTATGAAGCGTTTTCAAATCAGCCGTACTCTGTAGATAACAGGGAAAAATAAAGTTAACATTGTCACCTTTAAACCAATTGATTCGCTAAAATTTATGCAAACCTACTTCATCGTCGTCATCAAGCCGAACACGCTTCAGCGCAACGACCTCGCCGCCTTCTTTACTACGAGCTTTGAAAACGGTACCATAAGTTCCTTTAAAGGGTCGAATGAGTTAAAAAGGAAAAGGAGATAAACTTCAACCAACCTTCACCGATCTTCTCCAACTTGTCATATTTTTGCATCTAATCTTGAACGACTACCTGAAAATCTAGACAAATCTAAAGTTGACCTTTCAGAGGACACGGTGAGATGTAGAGTCGGTGAGAACAAATCAAATGTGAAGGCGCGCAGAACTGTATGAAGTCTCAAGAATAAGGGACAGTTGTAATCGTAATTTTGATATGCGGGCCGTGCCGTTCTTTCCCCCACAAATTGTATTGTAGTTAATCGACGGATAACCGAGAATGTGAAATTCATACAAAAAACTAGAGTCCTGGACGAGATTGGGAGCCATTCTAGTCTAGACCTCTGAAGTATGAAAGGGACAAAATGTTCGACCAAAATTTATTGACTAGATAAACGGCCATCCGACATCTTGTACGGCACAAAACCATGTCAAAATCATATTGAGATGCTCCGGTTGAGAAACAGCGGTACAGGAAGCAAATACAGGAAGTTATTAATCAAACTACCTGCTGCCAAGAAGTGCTTTTGAAAAAAGATGACCCCAATCAAACACCCGCGTTTTCGATTGTACCCAAGGTTCACCCTATACAATGCTAGAGCGACATATTTCTGCTTTAGCTTCGTCCCTTTTGTCTAACCGAGTCAAGAGAGAAAAATTGAATGACCCACAAAGATTTTTCTCAGCGAGATTATGACTGTAATAGATCGAGAGATCGAGTTTCGTCCAGTATATTACGAATGAGCAGTTGGCAGCTAGAATATGGGCAAAAAGAAATTTTTTTCACCATACGCACATGCGGATGTCAAATGATAAGCGGCAGCATAAGCAGTACATAAGTCCATTCACTGACAAAATACTTCATATAACACATGTAATCTTGCTTTCTCGTAGAGATTCTACCAAAAGAAAACTATTTTTTTATAATCATCACCCCTTCATTGGCACTAAAATATTGAACCAAACATTTTGCTGACTAAGAAGATTGATGTGATGTGTCGTAACCAAAATAAAATAAACAAAAGTAATTCATATGTTATATTTTCCGACTCATACACACTGTTGTCTTCGCACACTTGACAAAGTTTAGGGAATACATCGCAAAAATGAATCTATACCTTGTGCGCAATTCAATCTGAGCGTCAAAATGAGTAATACAAAATGAAGAAGTGATATTTTGTACAGCACCTGTGTAGTGTAGACCGGTACGAGTGGCATGGATGCCACGTATGTTCACTGCCAACCAATAAAAAATGTTGACAAAATGTGACTGCTATTAAGTGAGTACTTAGTTATGAATGGAAAAAATCCCTTTAGATGTTTAGTATGCGAGAAAGATTGATGATATGTACATGAGATTATGTTGTGCAACTTTGATTCATGTTGGAGTGCTCCCAAATTCCAAAAGTGTTGACAACAGAGATATGTCCTATGTCTTAAGAAAAAAGAAAAAGCTGTACTGATTTTATGCAAGAAAATTCAAAATAGAATGCTTTTTCCGTAAGTTGCTCGAGTAGAATCAGGATGACGAACTTAACTCAGTCATGGCAAATAGAACCCCTAAACGATGAAAAATGTTTCATACAGAATGCCCCGAGATATGTATCATACTTTGCTGTAAGCCCTGTATCGTCAACTTTTGCAGGCATGATATTTACTTCAACTTATAATCAAAGTACAAAAATCAGCCATCGCTCTGATTGTAGGGATGCGGTAAGATTTAAAGTTCTGAGCCAATTAGAGCCAAATCTTGAATTGAATTAAATTTGAACAAAAAGGAACCCGAAAGTTTTGAGAATATGTTGCCGGTTAGCTATCATGGCGATCTCATATGTAATCTATCTGACTTTGAAATTATGCTAATCATTACCTCCTGCTAAACAACAACTTTTCCTACTTTTTGTAGTTACGCAATGTGCACTAAAAAAATTGTTTATTTGCAATAATTCATCCCTTTCCGGAGAGAATGTCACCTGTCCTGCTTTGACGCACAGTGCCAACGTAAATCATGCTCGTTTTTCCGAAGACTTATGATTTAAGCTACATAATTACAATGTACCTCGCATTCAAAAGAATTTGAGATCTGTTTGTGAATTATCAGAACCAATCGACGTTCTTGTTGCCATTCTCAATGTCACAAACCAAAATCGAACTTTTTAGGAAGCATGTCCCTAACGAAAATGGTCATATTTAGCCTAAATGTGTCTCTTGTGCTCTACTTTTTTCTCTCAATTCTAGCCACACTGCGACGTCTCAAAACAAAATTCAGTAATAATGACATAAATTTAAAATAATATAAAAAATTATAAAAACTTTTTACATGATACTAAGTCTTCCTTTCTTACTGAGGAGTTCCGATGAAGACTTAGAAACCAAGTCAAACTCCGTCTAAGAGAAGGAACGAAACGGACTAAAAATAACACATATAATTTATTCTTTTATTAGAAATCGATTTATTTGCCGAAAAACGCTGATCTTTCATAGCATATTTTATTCCAACCCATCCATTCCCAGCTCACTATATCATAAACCCATAAATAGGAGCAAGCCGGGGGGGGGGGGGGATGGGGCGGGTGGCGGGGAGAGGGAAAGAAAGAGGAAGGGTGGAGGAGGGTCCGCAAAATGGTCTGGTAACTTGAAAAAGAGATCTATATGGGTGATAAAATTGTGCGACTTGGTTTGACCTGAGAATAAGTAAAATAGCTTTACTTGAATAATAATTTAAATCACCTTTGCAGATTGGCTAAAAACTTGAGAGCCATCTCAAACCAATTTTGGGAGCATCATTTCAAGCAAAAACAGATGAGCTTAAATCAAATCATTCGCAAAAAGTTCTCTCCATCTTCCTCGCTTCCTCTACAATAAAAAATCTTTAAGACCGCCATTATCCCACAAGTTAAGCTTTGCATTTTTCATAGTTTATAACAAGGTATTGTTGGCGCATATAAGGTAGAAAAGAAGGAACAAATAATGTCCATCATATTCGTAACCTAGTTTTCACTAAGTGCAATGTTAAATTCACTGCAATCCCCTGTGTGAAGTGATGATATTGAGAGATAGTTCAAAAAGTGTCACGCTTTCGATATTTGATGAGATTTGCATTGCATTGCAACAGGCCCCGACAAAAAAAGAAGTCCGCGCCGCGGAATGAAATGTCGCCGATGCTTGAGACAAGGAAAATCGAAAGCATGCGATGCATTCACATGCATTTGAAGGAATGGATCGCAATTCCCGCAACAGAGAAAAGATTTCCATTTCGTTGGATTACTTACACATTGCTCTACAGATTCAAAGGCCCTCCAAACAGGACAAAAATTTATCATTTCACTTCGTCGCATCTGGGAAAGAAAAGAAAATTTGGCAATATTACGGTTAGAGATGAGTCATTGTGGGGTGCAACTATCTATCATCATAAAAGGATGTAAAAAGTAGTGATAATCATTACACTAATTTCAGCTGACGCATTGCTCACATTTAATTATTCATCACAGACTAAGTTCTCCGTAATTTAGGTGCCCAAGTGGTGACAAACATCTACGGTACAAACTAGAGATTATTGCAGAACAGAACCGAAGCAAAGAATCAGAGGTGCTTGTAGTCATCTCAGTGTAAATAAAGGCTTTCAACGAGTCCCAGCGTAAACAAAGGTCTTTTTAAGCACTTAGAGGCAGTGTCCCGGCAGAATTTCGCTCCATGGTTTCCACCTCTTCAGAGCCTTCTCGCCATGCTGAAGCCATATCTGAGCTTTTCAGCGCTTGAAAAATTCAAAAATGATCTTTTTTCGAAGCTCTCCCTGTCCGCGTTCGCTCAATTGTGTGTAAGAAGTGGGCGGAGTCTGGAAGTGGGGGGTGGAAGGCTTTTTATGTGGATTTTGGGCTTTCCAGAAGCGCTTTTTCACTCTGGACTTCACTGATAACTCGGAGGCAGTGGCGTACCCAGGACTTCCTTTCGGAGGGGGGGGGGGGGACAAAAAATTTCCTCGGATGGAGGTGCGTGGCGTTAGCCACGCACTCCGAAAAAATTTTTGGAATGCTTCCCAAAATTTTTCCGGAGTTTTGAGCACGGGTCTGTGAGATTATTTTGTATTTTATGAAAACGGCGACATTTTTCAGAGGAGCTGATAGAATAGACACAAAAATTGCGCATTTTTGAGCAAAATCCATTCAGTTTTTTTAAAGCCCATCTGAAGCGTATTACAAAGTGATGGAAAGTAAATGACAACGATTGATGTACGGCTCAAGCTTCCAATTAGACATTACTCAAGGCAGTGGCTCAGGAACTTGCTACTGCGAAGCTTTCCACACCTACATGGCCTTCTGGACCAACTGAGTCAGGTACTGTGCTTGAAAAATCGAAAAAAAGTGCTTTTTGGCGTTTTCCGGCCTTGGATATTGCTGGAGACGAGGGCCGAGGTATTCCCGCCACACAACTGGCTGCAGGTTACTGTAAGTCCACCTATTTTGGCGGCAATTGGCTGATCAACCCAGGCAGCCAATCGCGACACAGTTGACGGGAATTGCTCGCCCCGCCTCTCCAGCAATCTACAAGAGTGGAAAACGCCAAAAAACCGCTTTTCTGACTTTTTAAGCATAGTAACTTACTCAGCTGGTCCAGAAAGCCATGTATTGTGGAAAACTGACGCGATTTTCCGAACCCCTGCCTTTGAACGATAAAATCAGGGAGATAAAGCCTTTATCTTGGCGATTTTGTTCCTCGCTCCTTCCCCCGTGATTTGAAAATTGCTACAGCTGCATGAAATTCAATTTTGTAGGTTATTATCCCCTATACCAATCGACTGTAACTTCTGCTGGATCCCGTGATGATTAGCGCTTAGATTTAAATTGAAAATGCAATATATCCTGCACTCTTCGGATATCACAGCCCTCAAAAAGCAGGAAAGGCAGCAAAACGTATATGGACATACACACAGTGCAACTATCACGTTCAGCCTTTTCTTGTCCTAGTCCTATGACATCGAAATGATCGATGGATGGATGGACATGTATGCGAATTTTATTGGAATTCAATGAATATTACTGAAATTGTTCATAATGAGCTTAACATCAGACAGATGCACAAATTTCCAAATTAAGTGTTCAACGCTCGGACTGAATGCATGATGGAAAATAAAGCAGCCTGTACAAGCAGTAAATTTAACCCTTTATATGTCGCCACAGTGAAGACAACATTAGCGCGGAAAGAAATGCCTTGATTGCAGATGCCGACAACTTGCTTGCAACTTGCGCTAAATAATGACCTTAGAGAGAGCGTGTGCCATTTTTTACGCGCAAATGTTGTCGGCAGTGCAGGGACATTATATTCACTGTGACAGCCTTGAGATGCGGCGCAGTAAGAAAAACACAAATGAAATCTTCACTTTTCTCTGCACATGGAAACATTATCAAAATCGCTCCACATGGAATTGTTATTAAAGAACTTGCAAAGAGCGTAGCACACTAAAAAATTATCAAGTGCATTATTAAATCGAAAATTTGGCACTCAAAAGAAAAAATGCACAAGAATAAAACCAGGCTTAAGTCCCTCTTTTTCAAAATGTTTCCATGTAATCTTCATAACAAACGTGGTACAAAGTACAGCTTTTGATCAAAGCGCATAGATTTTCCGAGCGAACGGTTCTAGCCGCTCTCTCTCTCTCTCTCTCTCTCTCTCTCTCTCTCTCTCTCTCATACGCTCTCACAATCAGCTGGCCTGTCTATGTTGCACTTCCTGAATGATCCGCTAACTTTTCTCCGTCAGTGATTTCGACGCTCTAGTTCAAGTTCTAACTTTTCTATTTCATCGAAATTATCGATTTTCACAAAATTTGTCAATGTAATCATAGGGTATTGGATTTTTTCTCAAGAATTGACATTGAAAAAACACGTTCTCTTTTTTTTTTTCTTCAACTGCTTCTTGATCAATACTGCAGTCTCATTTGACAACCTCCGATTCTCCAAAATGATGATCCCCCTCTCCCTCTGTCGATCTCTATTCCCCTTCCATTCCCCTCCCCCCTCTACTCTACTTTCTATCACAATTCATGCGTGTTAGCACTTAAAGAGCGTCATTTTTCATTGACAATGAGCGACGTTACAACGCCTTGACAACTTCTTCGGAGCATAGCGAACTATGATTGATAAAATATAAGCGCGTTCTTTTCTAGCCTATACAAGGACTGAGAAGCAGAGCGGATAAAGCAAACTTCTCCCGAAAATTTAGCCTGCTCTGTTTTTAAGCTCAATGAAGCACTTTCGGAATTTGTTTTTTTTTTCTGAAAAAACAGCGCGCAAACTGAAATAATGCTCTCTTCTAGGCTAAATTTTCTTTCTATTGATCTTACGCCATGAATTAAAAAATCAAATAGAAGCTCGATATACTCTCATGCGATGAGAACAAGAAATTATAAACATAAAGTAATAATGATGCTGATTTTGCACCAAACGTTTTCAAAACTCACCATTTGCCTAATTCTAGGACCAAATTTTAGAGAACATGGAAATCATACGCCTTTTAACAATGCTCAATGCAAAAAACTATTCCAATTTCCATTTTGCTACCAAACAAGTCAATAAAGTAGGATACTCCAGCACTGAAATTCTGAGAATCAAAGAAAAAAACTAGAAAATTCGGTATATGATTAAAGCTATGAATCTGATCCATTAACCTACTTATGACAAAATGCAACGCTTCGGCAATTCTTGCCGATCAACGTACATACCTTTGAACATTTTGAAGCGGACTTTTTGGAAAAAAGCTAATTTTTTCTGAGTCGTATCCAAAGTACCTTTATTCTGAGTAATTTTATCATTCATAAATTTTTGTTTAACTTGCTATTCATGGCGATCATTCCTCTCAATATTTCAAGAGTCACAACTTTGCTTTCCAACACTACAATTTCACTTATATTTTCAAAAGGAGCACAATGGAGGAAAAATATTGGTTGGAACTGCTGGTGAAAAAATCAGCGACCTTTTATTTGATGCTAAACTTGTCTAATGTCTTTTTCTCAAGTCTACGAGAAACATTCACTAGCGGCGAAGACGCATTAACAATGGAAATGAGCAATTTTCAGGGAGGGTAATAACGTTAGGTCCAGATGTCGTGGATCGCAGCTGACACATTTTCGAACACTAAGATAGCGTTAGCTTGAAAATAAGCGTAAAATATATATAAAAATTAGAGCAAAAAGAGATGGAATTTTGCTAAAAATCTTTATTAATCAAACAAACTGATGGTCCAACACAATTTCAGAAGTATGTATGATAATCAAAAAATCTTTCATTCAAAAGCGAACAGCTAGTTTATAAAGCTCATACATCGTTTTTTTTTTTTGTTTCCAACATAAGACATAAATTAATCCCACTGCGTAATTTTAACATGCAAATACAAAAAAGAAATAAAAAAGCAAAGTTAAACGTAAAAAATATAACTACGAATAACAAACAAGCAAAAATTCCTGCTCAAATATAATATTCCCGTTCACACTAAAAAACGAGCGAACGTTACTTGTTGTTAGTACATTTCCTGTGCATGTGCAGTGTTTACACTTTTCACACATCAATAGGCAATTTGTCAAAGAACGCGAAGCAGATGTTAAACCGGCGTTGCGGTCATTTGTTTTGTTTACAAAGTTTGGAACGGTGATACGCAGACGCACCCAAAACAAAGCTTAGTCGTACGTTGCATTTTGAGGTTTAAAATATTCATAAAGCAGTTCATAATTGGAATTTGGAATTCAATCATTAAAACATAGAAACAAAATCAACCCCAAGAAATGCAAGGCTAAAGCTAATAATGTTTTCAAAAAGTACGAAGCAAAGAAAAATAGGCATAGAAGCTACTAAGTAATTATTATAGTTTAAACCACAATCTCTTCCGAGTAAATTGAAGGAAGTGAATGAACTTAAATATTTCTTTCAGGGTCCTGGGTTAACAAAATTAGTAGTGATCTCTGAGCGCAGTGAAATCAGAGAAAGTAGGAAAAACAGCAGAGAACATATTGACAATGACCAGATGGCTGGCTTGGACCACTCGTCAGATAAAGACGCAGAGCAACACTAGCGCCCAGAGAAGCAGAGTATGGAAAATGTGGGCGGGACAGGAGCAAAGTGAAAACTAAGGAACTAGACCGTGTGTCCTTTTGGAAGAGCGGTTTTGTCCCCCCAGAGAAATTGGGCAACGGTACGCACGGACACACGGGTGGGCGCACGGCCGGGGGTGACCCCCGTCGACGCGCCGACCACCACGACGACGACGGCGACGCGGGGGGCGCCCGTTCTCCGGTGGCCGCCGTCGGCTGTCGCGCTAGTCTGCGGCGGCGCGAAGGATTGATCGAGCGCGTCGCGTTGCGGGCGCGTCGCGTTCCGCCGCCCGCCAATCTCGTCGCGCGATAGCCCCGTCACGGCTCCCGTCACCCCCGATCCGCATCTTTTACCATCCTAAGGTCGTATCGATTCGTGTCGGAAGGTGGTTGGCGTGGAGTTCGAGCATGTCGCGACGTCTTTTAGCTTTTTATGACTCTGAGCCCTGATTTTTCGAGCAAAGTCGTTCAAATTTTCGGGCATTTCCGCTCTATTTCTAAATTTATCGTTCCGTTCCTCGCAATTCTGTGTGTCGTCGGTGGTGATGGTCATGCGCCTCGCATAGCGAAGCACATCTATCTAGCGTGGTTTTATTCTTTGCAGTGTCAACAGCGCATTTTTAAACGCACACCCGACCGCCACCAGCACCAACCGCCGGGCGACGACGCGACGACGACGACGATCACGTCTATTCGTCCACACTCACACACACACATCGCATATACGCCATCGTCTCATCGACTAGTGGAAAGCGAGAGAGCGAGAGAGAGAGCACCTGCTGCTGCTGCTGCTGCTACTCCTACTCGCTACGAATTTGCTACTGTTGCTGATTATACTCACACACCTACTCATTCGTTTCGAGACTCTTATGAAGTCTGTCAAGGTCAGTGTGCTTTAATGACGTTTCGAGGCGATAAGCTTCTTTTTTTTTTCGAGTTTTTCGTGCAATTTCGCACTGCATTATAGGTGTTCATGATCTTTTTTCCTGCCATTTTTTTCTTCGGCCAAAGCATGCACTCATTTCAGTGCCTCTGATATTTATGATCAGATAATTTCTTGGGAAAAGATGTGCTTCATCGGCAGCGAATTTCTACGTTTTAGGTTCTTTCAAGATGAACTATGCACTTGCCCTTTGAGTTTTTGTATGCGAGATCAAACAATCAGCCAAACTATTAGATTTTTGATATTTTTCCTACAAATGTATGTTCTTTGGCATATCAGCAACGTCTACAAACATGTGACCTACATGTTTAAATTTTTGAAAGTTCTTAGTTAGTGAATTTGGTAACACTGGAGTGCAAATGTAATTTAATTGATGTTTGGATTTTGTTGGTCTGCATAATCCAATGGAATCTTCTTTCGAGTGCTCAAATCTTCAGCAAGTTTAACATGTTGACATCAGCATTTTTGAGGGTTTATACTAAAATCTGAAACACGCACAAATCGCTTTTTTTGATTCAGAACTTAGCACTTTCCAGTGGTCTTTTATGGCCCACCATATATGTTATAAATGTCGCGATAATCCATAAATCTGTTAAAGTTTTCAAATATGTAATGTAGGCAGACACATTCGCATTCGGCGCGTCATTACAGCTGATGAGCCAAACCTGCCATTATTCGTTCGGCGTGGAGAAAAAAGTGCGCTCTTACTTCTTATCTGCGATATCTCTGTTTAGTGCAAAGTTTCGGGATTGATTTCAATGTTGTAGATGGAAAAGGTATCAAAAACTTTCATACTTGGCATTTTCTTTCCACATTTGTTGCAGCAGAGACGAGAAAATTGGCATTCTGAGCGCTTTCTTAGACGCAAGTAGCTGTGGAATTTGAATTAGCTTTTTGTTTTGTTTTTTTTCACATGTCATTTGAGGGCATTTTTGTTCACTTTATAAACGAAACATTGATGCCATGTTCTTGCATTCAGTCCATATTAAGTCGCCTTAGTTCGAGCTCTATGTTGATAAAGCTGTCTCATAGTGTTCGATCTGAAAATAGCCTTCGTGATATCGACCACCATCTCTCCGCTAACACAAAAGATGGTATTCAGAGCATGCACAATAACGCTTCGGTTCTCTGCATGTGCGAGATCATCTAGGAAGAAAAACGCGCTGCGAAATGATTCAGAAATCGAACAGAGCATCTGTAGTTACCCTCATGCATCAGTTCACATGCTCCAGTTCCTCTTTTTCAGGGTCTTCTCTAGCTCTTACTGTGTGTCTTTAAATCAACGAAACGCCAACATGGCGATAAATGGTGGCAGTTTGGAAGATTGCTTCTCTAACGTCTACGCTTTGGTCAGTTTCCGTCATTTCCTTCAATAAACAATCGAAGGCATTCTGTGATTTTTTTCTAAATGTTGCGAGTGGCAGTCGCTGCGTTGCACATTATGAAATTACAGACGGAGTTGAACGGTTTGAAGTGGCGATGTTTTTTGACGCCGTCGAATTCGCCTCGTGGGATACCCGTCCAAAGCGACCCCATTTTGAAAGCGTATGGAAATTGTCTGCGGGTGAGGCTTCATTTCAATTACTATCACAATTATAATTGAGATAGCTATTCTTTGACCAGTTGTAAAGTCCAATCTAACAGAAAGTAAATGTTTATCTTAGGATGGATTGATATGTACGTGGCGAAGGAAGCCGTTGGAACTCAGACCCAACGAGCCCCTTCCGCTGCCGTCGTTTACCAACGAGATTTCGAAGGAGCTATGGCTTTTTTGGTACTCGAACGACCCTCCCGAGAAACTATCGATAAACACTTCTCACCTCGGTAATTCATTGACGTTTTTTTTTTCGCCATCATTCATCGTGATAGCGCTGAAAGTTCACCGTTTTGAATTGCTTTGTTATTGTCTCTTGCAACTTCGAAATACACATGTTTCGGTTTACTGTTTATCTCAAGATGACAACATTTTTCTTGTACTACGTCACTTTTTTGTCAAGCAGTGATTGATGCCATTTAGATGCCGATAATAATGGAGTTGGTACAGCAGCAAACGGTATAAACTATGAGGTGCGCGTACTGTTGTTCCAAGCATTGCATACGATGATTGAACGAAGTATGGCATTGGATGGCTTTGTGCGCTTTGGTCGATGGTTTACTCGGCCGCTTAGGCAACCGCTTCCGGGGAGGCAACATCTCCTTCCTCAGTCAGTAGTTTGTCTTCCAAATTTCTTTTTTCCTGGTGACATTTTGCATTTGCAGTTATATTATGGCTACTAATGTGCAGTTCTTTGTGCATGGTGGAAATACAGTGTGCATGACGGTGAACGCGCAGCGACAACCTCCACTCTTGCGTCTTTCGAAACGGTAAGTTACGCCAGTCTTCTCATTTGCATCTATTTTGTCATCTCAGTGTCCCTGCTCATTGTAGCTACTAAGTGCATATTTATCTATCTAGGCATCTTGGATGCGGCAAAAGGGTGCAAGTAGTTGTTGGTCCATGGTCACTTCGCGCCGTTCTTCTACCACCGGACACAGAGATCGGTCGGAATCAACCGAGTGCAGAAAAGCAGTGGGAAGAGTGGAAAGAATTTGTGTCATCTTTGGCGCAAGATCTCGATGATACTGATGACGACAGCCGGGTGAGAAAATAAAACTTTTGGTTCTGCAGGACATGAGATGCAGTTTTTTAGGAGGAAGGAGTTCCACGGATGGTTCCTGTTGAAATTGATGGTATTCGTATGCTGTACCCTTCTTGCTATGTTTGCGTGACAATGGAAGATGATGCCGCTGCGTGTTCTACAGACGAAGCAGTGGCTCCGTCCATGACTCCCGATGAACTAATAAGTGTGTTTCCTTTACTTTCTTTGATATTCATTATCAATGATTTTTACTTTTTTACTCTCACTGCATTCTGGTCCTTGCTGATCTGCGTGTAATCCCAATCGTGCGCTTATATTTCGATGCAAGTTATCCTTTGTCCTTTTCTATGCAAGCTGTTTATTTGGTTTCGAACTAGGTTCTTCTTTGTTGCGATGTTTAAAATGCATATCTAAGGACATTCTTCACATAATTTGCCATATTGAAGCATAACTCCTGGTTCTTCTGTTTTTTCCGTCCATCTGAAAGACTCACTTTATTACCATTTTCGTATTCAGCTCCAGACAACGGTCGTCGTAACCAGCTACTGGTGTCAAATGCAAACGGCCATTCATATATGCAAGGAGTGCTACAGAACGCCTATCTAAGTCCATCCCGACCACAACCTGCTCCATTACCTCCCCCTCAAGTCGGACCTTTTCAAGCGCCATACCCTCCTCAAATGGATGATGACACCAGGTAATCCTTGTTGCGCTCTTATTCAAAGTACATAGATCAAGTTTAGGTGGAATTTCATCGATCCCAGCAAGAATGATACTTGCTCCTGTGAAAACTGCACGCATCAGCCTTCACCTGAGTACTGGGCTTCACTTGAAAGGGAGCCAGTAGTGGATTGCCCATTGGCCGCTCCCATCAAAGTAGCACAAAAACCTGGTTTGGTCAAAACCAATCCTCTCTACACGGCGATGAAGAGGCAAAGCAAACGTCGATCTAAGTAAATTTGAAGTTGATTGTTTGACGGGCGACTTATTTATCTTGTTCAGATATTCCTATCATCGTCGGTTTCCGCTAAAGTCGGAGCCTTCAGAAGAACTCTCGTCACCTTGCGACTCTGTTGCAAGCGAGCAGGATACTTCTGATGATGAATCCTCTGGTATTCCTGCTTGGGCCGACACTAACAAGCAGAGCCTGGTTACGGGAATTTATTGCAGCGCAGATGACGCGAGGTAAGTAAAAACGCACATCGCTTTCTCGTTCATCGTCATTACATCCACTTCTTGTTCGAATTAGATACATTCTACATATCCCTTTCTCTGCGCGTAATTATTTGTTGGCTTCGAGATGTGAAATTCGAGCTTGCGCATCTAGAAACGATTTTTTTACTGGCGGCGTTCTTTTCTTTTTAGTCATACATCCGTAATTCAGTACCACCTATACAAACCTTTTTCAGTTATCACTTTGGAGCGGCAACCCCCTGCAACTCAAGTGATGACGAAAATCTTGCGTGTAGCCCGTTTACACCCATCAAGGTAAGCCCATTTTATGAATATCCAACGTTGAGAAGAGAGCCTTGTCTTTGTTTTCTCTGCATGTTATCTCAAAGATACTTTACTCAAATTTTCTGTAATTTGAATCATTGTCATTCTAGGTAGTCTCTCCGTGTACAAACTGCTCTTGGCCTAGTGCGCCAGCAGAACAAATTCCGGAGGATGTATTCAATCAGATCTTCCAACCTAGCAGGTAGGGACAGTGTGATTACCCATGCATCATTATGTATTCATTTTACCAAGATCTTTATGCACTGGTTTGCTTTTTTGTGGGTTAATTCTGCCGAAAATTAGTGATTATTGAGAATTATCCTTTTCTGTTCCTCATCTTCTCCACTTTGAGTATCCTGAGAAATTGGGTGTAGCCAATTTGTTCGTGATTGAGCGCTTCTATTCAAAGGGCACCCAGTGGAGTGTGATCCATCGGTGTTGGGATGAGATTTTGATTCAGCACATCCCGAGTACCACCAACGGCTAGTCAAGAGGAGCGACAACGTGATTATAATTGCTACTACAACCCTACGCTACGGGAAGACCCCTACTATATGTCCTACCATAGCAGGCGGTTCGGAGAGAAGCGCCGTTCAAGTTATCCCCCTAGCATCAAGATCCCCGCAAGCCCGGAACAACCGGGCAGCCAGGAAACCGTGAGTGTTTTATTATGCGGAGTTATTCCATTTTGGAAATGGGCTTTTCAGATTCCCGCCACAACATCTCCGCCTCCCGAACTCGAGGAACATCGGAGGCGAATTCCTGAATCAGATCCCACCGTGACCATGACCCGAACAACAGGGGATTTTGACGCGAAGGATAAGGTGTGTCAAAGTCTTTCATTGTATTCCATCTTCGGTGACGTTCTTCTCATTTTGTATGTTTAGCCCGACGTCCAGGTCCGCTCAAAGAGACGATCTAGAAAGTTAAAAGGAAGCATTGAATGGCCTGATTTGGATTTGCTAGACATGGCATATTTATCTACGTCTATGGGGGTTCGTTTGATGTCATTTTATGATTTTCAACAATATCTCATCGATGTTTATTCAGGAAGAAATGGAAGCCAGGGTGTCGCCATGTCGTGTTACACCCATATGCGATAGTGACTCGGATGACGAATTGGAGGAACAAATCGCATCTCTCGATGTTGACGAGACGAGAGCCATCGGTATGTCTCAAAGTTGCTCTAACTTTGAACCAAATTCTTGTTTCAGGGGAAGGTCCATCTGGATTGGGCCAGTTCCTAAGCACATATGAGACCCATCTCGGTCAAGGACCATCATTTGATGCTATGGATGTTGATGAATCAGTTGGCGGTGTTACGTCTGATAACATCAACTTGTTGTCTCCGCCAGCAAGCAACGAGAGACCTGAGGCTTACGCTGCTGTATGTTTCATTGGCCTCACTTTTAAAGAATACTCATGACTAAGTTGCTTCCAGATGTCTATGAATTATGGTTGGCCTCGAATAGGTGGTCCACCATCTTGTGGAGACCCATCTATGAATCATATATATCCCACTCCACCTAGCGTGCAGTCAGAAGCACAACAGTTCAGTCCTGCTCCAATGTTACCGCCTCATCAGCAGTATGCGATGCAGCATCCACATCAGAGTGTGACGCAAATTCAGCAGGTATTCATGGTGGTTTTGCGTCTGTAAATTAGCATTATTTTTTGTAATCTGCGGCAAAATTGACCGTAGACAGTGGTTTCAACGGTAGCGCAGCAAGTCCAAGCATGCTTCATTACTACATCTTTTTGCGAGTGCTAGTTAACTTCTCACAGGTTGGGAAGTCCAGCCCTATAAAGTTGCAGCAATATTCTCTTGAGTTTACCACGTTAGAAAAAATGACGTTTGATTTATTGTTGTGTTAGAAGATCTAAAGATTATATGAATCAGACTTATGGAGCGCAGTCTAGTACATCTCATCAGATCGTGCAACATATGATGTTGTGAGATAGTTTTTGCTTCAGGCAAACACGATGGACGCATCGATGTTTCCTACAGCAGCGGGTCTTCAGCAAATGCCACAACCACCAGCTCCTTCATTACAAGCCGCCGAAGCAAAATCTGATGGAAAAACAGATAAAGAAGAACCTATGGATGATTCTGATGATTCTAAAGATGAAGTGATTGATTTGATTCCTGCAGACAGCAGAATGGTAACTGCTTTAGTAGAGGTGGTTTTCCAAATTTTTGAATTACTTTTTTAGGGTAAACTGTGGAAACGCGTCGAACTCTTGCCTGTGAATGGACACGTGCGGAAGAAGATGGTTCCGTCGTCTGTTAGATTTAGCCCAGCAGCAGATGTCAGAATACTTTGTGCTACACTGACCACCCGACGAACACCTCTGCACATGCCTCCGGACTATCAAAAACTTGTCCGGCTCATGGAGAAGCGAGTTCCAAAGCAAGTAGATACCTTGTTCTCAACGCAGTTCTCGACATCCGTAACCTCAACTCCTACTCAAATGCCGCCAATGGCGGTGACATCATTCCCGAATTCGAATAACTACAAACCCACGTTTGGTCCAATATCGGGCGGCATGACTCCAACTCCAGCTCAGATGCAGATGCCCCCCATGCAGCCACCACAGTCACATCATATTCAGCAGTTCCCGGCTTCTCAGGTGATTTTTGAGCTTTTACTCTGTTGTGTAACTAGTCTAGCAGCATTATTCAGATACGAACACCACCGATGATGGGTGGCCGCATGGGAACACCCGTGGGACCAGGGGCAGCACCCATGGGGCCTCCGTATGCGCCCACATCTGGACCATATGGACAGATGATGGCTCCTCCAAACTCTGTTCAGCAACTGAACAACTTCGTGCATGGACCTATGTTTAACACCAATGGACAAATGAGCCAACATCCAATGGGTGGTTTGGGACCCATGGGACAACCAATGGGTCAGCCTATGTATCCCGGACAGGTTAGTGCCCAATCCTCTGTGTTAGTTGCGTTGAAGTATCTGGATTGTACTTAGATGCCAATGATGCAGCCATGTACGACTGCTGGATTTGGTGCTCCACCAATGATGGGTGGTTATGTGCCTTCGGGACCGAATATGATGGGTCCACCGCATCCGAATGCTCCACCTGCATATCCGGGAGCTCCGGGACCACCACCTGCTTATGGGACGTTAAATCAGATGCAGCCCATGCAACCTCCCCATATGCGTCAAATGCCAATGAATCCGGTCCAGCAGGTGAGTCAAGATCACAGCACTATGTTCGAGAGTTCACTATTTGTACATGCAGATGATGCCATCCCAGTCAACAATGCCTATGATGAACAATTATGGTGTGAATCCTGCTGGACCGACTACTAATGGAATGCACATGTCCAGTCAGCCATCCAGGGAAGTCGTTATCCCGTATGCAGAAGGCTCGAGTGTTGTTCTGGCAATAATTCTGCAGGTTTGTGCGTTCAATAATTGGTTGCGATTTCAACGAATTTGGCATTGTTTTTGCACACATTTATTCAATTTAGGATACGATTCTCGATTTGCACTTTGATTCGGTCTTTGATGCGTGTCCTATATGTTCATGTAACACATCGATAAGGGCCAGGTACATATTGCTAAGTTTTTGAAAGCTATATCATGCTCTGGCAGAACCACACATGTTCTGACATCATTCAAGTTTTGATCATATCAATCTTTTCAGGGAGCTGGGTCTATATCTGACCCCACCAGATGCATTACGCATGCCTTCACAAGTACAGCAGAAACAAATTGGTTCTTGGAGTGGATTTGCTCTGGCTGAGGGGAATCCGTGTACTTGTGGATTCAGGTAATTATAAGACATCCATCTTGAGCGAGCTATTTTTTTCTGCTCCGTCTAAATGACAATTTGTTTATTCAGCGCGGTTCGTCATCGTTACCTTTCGTTATGTTCTGGCCTGTTTCCCGAAGACTCTCGAGAAGCAACTGCCATCGAGCATTCCGTAGCTCCTGTGAATGGATTAGGCGCAGAAGTCGGCTTGCAGACTAGCAGCCAAATGTGGTCGGTTATTCATTTTCGTCTTGAAGAACTCTAGTGAACTCGAGTCAATACAAATCGGCGCTGGATAAAATTTGTTACAGGTTTGACTCGACCAGCTCAACAGATGTTAATATGCTGGATCTGATACGAATCATGTGTCAAGAGCATTACATGGGTTTCATGGTCAACCAGATCGCGCAGTTTGTAGAACAAGCCGACAAAGCTATCAAGGTTGGGTCTTTGCCGAGTACAAGCTTTTCGTGTTAGCTCATTCTGTTTACACAAATTTTTTTTCAATTATTGCATGTCACATTTGCAAATGTCCCTCCGCGAATTATCCTTTTTTTTCAATGCAGCGACGAAATAACATGCAGAATTTGTTTAGCCCCAAGAAGTTGGTTTTGACGTTTCGAGCAATGCTGAGTATGTGTTATCTCAAGTCGATGCAACAGAGTTAATGCTCATTGGAAACTCTGCAGCAGAAATGTCAAGAAGTAAGTCGTCTTCAATCGAGATATGCAAACATTGCTGATATGATCTCCACACAACGTTACCTGTATGTTTCAGTCAGTGGTAATCGATCAAGAAATGCGAACCAACCAATTCTGCAATTCTTCCATCCTTGGGGCTTGCAGGTAAAATCTTCTTTTTGCAAAAGGAGTTTGTTATAAGATTTGTTGACTCATTTTGAAACAAACGTTATAGGTGGCCAATGAAGTGCGTGATCCACGCGAAGCAGAATGGAGAGGATTGTTATCTGAAATTGGTCCTATACTTGAAAGAGCTATGAGAGTTGTTAGGTATGTAGAAGGCATTGCTGACTAGCGCTGTATTAGGCAATCATATTTAGATGCATGCAAAATACCGGTGGTAATATCGTGGAAGGACCTCTGACATGGAGGGCATTGACCGGGAAAAGTCAGCATAAATCTCATTCTTTGAATCACGACGATGACATAAGTCTACCAGAGCCAATCCCATACATCAATGTTGCGGCAGAGAAAGATGCGATTAGGGCTGCACCACATGTGGGTGTTATTTCAATCCTTCAATATTTTATGCTTGCCCCTTGCTTTCCATATTGTGCGGGCTTTTAGTGATGTGAATTTTGTTTGCCCATCTTTTCTAGTTGTCCGAAATGTTGTTTTAATGTATAACAGTAATGTTTCATTCGTTGACTTTTTTCTTGCTCTGTTTAGGACACAAAAACACGTTACAGTAGGGTTACCACTTTTCATTCCCTTTTTTTTTCATCGCAGATTCAAAACTTGAAGAGGCCGATTCTAGAGTTGTTGCATGAACATTGCATTTACAGGTCATCCGTCACTGGGAGCACCTTTCTCTAGGTCCCATCGATCAACCGAAGGATGTGCTTTATCTTACGGTAGTACCGGATAGCCCAGATGTGTGCAACATGGCTTTGAAATATATGGAACAGCTGAGCCAGTAGGTTTTGATACAAGTCCAGTGGTTTGCAAAATCACGCCCTGATCTCCCCCTTCGCATTTCCCTGGTGTTCCTCTTGCTCCTATGTATTTGTTTCTCCTTATTGGTTGTATTCCTCTTTGTAAATCGTGATGACTAGTGTCTAGACTGCAATTCTAGGATGTACGAAAGGATGCGGCTTGGGCGTCACATAGCATGGCCTACGGGAGCTGATGGACGTGATGGATGTGTCAAAGTTGGCAGCCGCAACCAAAGCGGCAAATATCCAACGGAAACCACCACACTCGATTTTCTCAATCTTGTGAGCAGATACGTCGACAACAAGGCATTTATGACCAAGCTCAGGGTGAGTGTCCGCTTCTGCTTTATTTTGCGTCTCGAAATTGAGTCCATTTGTTGCAGCTGTTCACCCAGCAAATGGAAGAATCGCTTCTACAAGTGCTGTCCGAGAGAGATGACTTGTTCGATAGGACGGCATTCCGTGAGACATTGGCATTGGATTGGCGTGCAAAAAGAGCTGCAGCCGCTGCTGTCGCATTGGCTGTTGAACAACGATTAGCTGAGAGTAAGCTGAACACTAAACAAATGTTTACGTTTGAGAGGCTCAATGAAATAGCTGCAGGCACAGCTGAGCCGGGAACCACGGTTCCTCCGCCCGAGCCACCACCACCTGAACCTCCATTAGAACCTGAAGACATTCCTGTTGATGACCCTGGCACCCTACCTCACGTGATTGTGATCTATGTGGTGAGCTGAATATCGTTATTTTCAGTTTAGACTATCACAGTAGATGTTCTTCTTTCAGTTTAATCCGTTCACTTGGGGTACAGAGTTCAGAAGTGGTTTGTTCACGAGGGTGGCAACCTTAGCTGTGATGCGAGCGTTCAATACAGTTTGTTTGCGGCTCCCTCTGCGTCGTCGTCCACAATTGCAACTAGAAATTGTTCCTATGGAACAGGTTCGTTTAGAGGTGTTTGGCTTATCTATGCGGTATCAGTTTGCTCTCAAATTTTGAATTCTCTTGTTCAATGTCTGCGCTTTAGGTGGCAGATCTTTTGGGCTACCTCCCGGATTACACAAACGACAACTCAGCATCTCAGTATCTGTTTGAGAACAGTGGTAAGAAAAGCTTTTCCTTCTTGTTTTGCTCTCGTGTCTAAGTCCAATTTAGGTGGAAGTGAACGCGAACAAGTTGATTGTGTCGCTGTGGAATCGTTGAGAGTGAGTTGCCTGATTTAATACATGATTTAATGCGCAGATGGACATGTGTCAAACAGTGAATCTCGCAGGCAACCGTATTATCCGTGTATACACAACCGAGAGTTTTGGCAGCTGATTGCATCAAGAGTGTCCAGGCAAGATGTATGACCAAATTTGGTCCAGGAAGTAGTCTGCTAGATTCACTTGACGAATGGGAACGAAATGGTCCGAATGTGTTCTACAAGGTACGAAGATTGAAGACAAGGTTTCTTACTCAAAATGAGGAGCCTTTAGGTGCCATCAAATGCTTACCATCTTGCTCCTCCTCCGCTGCTTTATCAGAAACATGAAAATGGCAGAATTATTCAGTCATCTCCGGAAGAACAGGTAGTTGCTGCTGTTATGATTTTGCTGATACTAGGTAATCACAGGGAAATCATCTCGGATATATCATCTGTTAAGGTGTTGTATGTAACGTACTGCGTTATCGGATCTGATTGGCTTTGTGTCACCGTCACCGATTCTCTCGGTCGACTGAACGATAATTGCCTCATCAATCTGAAGACCCGTCATGACCATCAGTGCGTTGATTTTTTTCTTGGAATTGCCTGAATTATTGTTTGTGATTTAGCATCTACAAATATCGTCAACAAACTCAAATACTTGACGGGATGAGCCGCCTTTGGACTTACATTCTTGGCGTTCTCTGCATGGAAACACGAAATTGGAGACTTGTCATCGGACGTCTTGGACGAATTGGTCATGGAGAGTTTAGAGGTCAGCAACTTTTTGAACTTTGTATTTTCCCAATATTTTGCATTTTTGTTCACCAACACGCTCTTATCATTACTGAATATGCGTGCGCGGCTGCGTATTGTCTTGAGAATCTGCATCTCCATTGAAATTTACGCTTTACGATCAACTTGCTGATATCTACGTACTTTAGCGTGGACATATTTGCTGAACAAGACGTCCCTGAAGCGGCACTCAGCTCGCCTCAAGGAAGTGTGCACTTCATGCGCTCAAATGCCAGGCTGTACCGGAACACCAAGCATTCTCTCTGCATGCCTTGTATCCACAGAACCCGAGCCGTATCTGAGAATGTTCCCCGGCTTTGCTTCTACTGACGCATACAGGTGCGTAGTCTTGATTACTCGTAAGAAACGTGATGATCCTTCTTTTCAGCAAAAAATCTCGATCGGCTGGAGCAGATGATACCACTGTCACTCACATTATGGTGTTTCCAACCAGTGCAGACATCCAGGTAGACATGAATTTTCACTTAGTTGTTGCAGCAGAATTTTATATTCGCTACTGTTTCTATAAAATGATGTTTCCAGCTCGGTGCTGCTGAGCAACACGCTGCTGGTGATGATGAGTGGGATATGGATCTCGTTGATATGGATATACCACAAGATGGAAATGATATCAATGACGAGTTTATGCATAGTTTATTCATGGTGGGATATATTTCAAACTTTTTTTCACCCATCTTTGAAAATTTCGATGCGGTCTCATCTTCATGGTGATGAGTACAGCTCTTAGTTACAAGAAATACCTTTTATATCTTATGAACATTGCCTTGTATTTGCTGTTTATGATGGTGCCTGTTCAGGACAGTGGCCCGCCACAACCCAGTGCTAGCTTCCGGACTGCAGGGAACTCATTCTTTTCCGAAAACACTGCCGGTATGTTTGAGTTTTTTTATTGCCATGTTCGCCGAGTAAAAGCAACATCCATTGAAGACGTGTCAATGGAAAACCAACCGCTAGCAACGGGTTATTACGTATCCACTGCACCTGCAGCTGATGTACCAGACTGGTTTTGGTCGAGCTGTCCTGGCGCAAAGAATCGAACGCCAGTTCACTTAAAGTCCTCATTACACATCAATGTACCTCTAGTGCATCAGGTGAGAGAAATCTCCTTTAGGTCTTGCTTGTGCAGTTTTTTTCTATCTAGTTCGTGTAAGACTTTCTCGTAAAATATAAGTGCAGTTATGTAATAAATTTCATGTTCTCTGATTTATCTCTCAGTGTTATTTATCGCATGTTGTCGTTCCAGGGCGATGAATTCTTGCAAGGAAAATCAGCTATCGGTGACAAGCAAGAAAAGGAAAGTGGTCATCCGTTGGATAGTACCAAAACGGATGAAGTTCTAAGGTAACTTTTGTCCCTCAAAGAGTTTGTTTTGGAGTTGGCCTTTGTTTACCTATTCTCCCTGACTCTGATAATGTAAATTGATTTTGAGTAAGTATACATGTAACATTCTGCCTTTTTTCTGTTTTTGCTCTTTTATATTACTCATAAATTTCAGACATGTTCTGGAGACCTACAATGCCCTTTCTTGGTTGAACATCGATGTTGTATCGGGAGAACGACGTAGCTGCCTTCCGATCCACATGCAAGCCCTCATCAGATTATATCACTCGGTAGCGAGACTCATCATGTAATATAGACTGAAACTAATTCCTTGAAGAATTCATCTGCTTCAATCATATATTAGTCTTTCAAAATCTCATCAACTATGTGGTGTGTTCAACTCGCATATTCAACTCGTAATCGTTTTGCGTAGGTGTGCTTGTAATCCCGGTTGTATAGATTCGGTACAAATCTACTTGGTACTCATGCGGTTTCCTATTTATTCGGCGCTCTATGTGCTTTTTGTGTTGTTGTCGTTTTTTTGGCCAATGCTTCATTTAGCTAAAACTGCTTTCTTAACGAACTGTGAGCGATGCTCTTTCTCTCTACACTCAAATTGTTTTTATTATTTTTTGGCTACGATCTCGGCCACGGTATATATTGATACAAACATTTCCGAGACACTACTGCATCATCTTTCCTATTTCTGTACATTACTTGCTAATCTATCATATTCATACCTTTCCAACAACCATTTTTCAAGTAAACAACAACATATCAACTCATTCGCTCCATTATCACACTTGCTTCATCATCCACACACTTTGCTCTCTGCATCATCTTCTCATACGCTGCTCGGTTATGGTACAAATCATTCACTATTGTTTTGAACTGAACATTGACGGGTCCTCACTTGTTCTGCGTAGGTGCTTTTACTGTCTCTTTTCTAAAGCCTAAACATAGTACTTCTGTGGTTGTAAAGTTCGCATAAGGTGTGTGTATGCGGTACGTTGTATCTGTGATACGTTGTACTGCACTGGGTTGCCCCTGGAATGCGTGATCTGTCCGTCTTGAAGACGTGGCACATTCTATTTGATAGCAGGTTCTTTAGGTCAATGCTTATTATACTTGTTCTCGATTTCGTTTCTTCCTTGATTTTCTTGTTTCTAATATTTTATCATGAGAGCTAATGAAGAGTAATATTTGTTGCGTCTAAATTTTAAATCTGGAGAAAGAACTGCTCTTATTTCTGCAACTACTTGATTTTCTGTCAACTGCTCAGTTGGTTAATGGCCGGAGTGGCGTGTGGATTTAGTTCTTTAATTTGAAACGAAAAATATAGCGTTCATCTTTTCGACTAGAATAAGATAGAAAAGAGCTTTGAAATTTTTCTTCAAAAGGAGCATTTTATTGGGATAGGTAATTCTGCTTTGTAGTTGACGCAAGGGCACCGTCTAGCCAAATCGAGTACCCTAAAATCTTACAGATATGTCCGCTTTTTTGACAAGAAAAATTGGTGAAAATGCACCGTCGCATCGCCAAGAATCTTGCAGATAAGTCCTCCCATCGGATAAGTCCGCCTACAGATAAGTCCGGACTTACCTGGCAGTCTCGGACTTATCTGACAAGATGTTAGGGTAGTTATAATGGAAAGAAAACGGACTTATTTGTAGGCGCATTTATCTGTAGACGGACTTATCTGATGGGAGGACCTATCTTTGAGATTTTAGGATAATAAGATTTTGAAATCATATAATGGAGGGCACCCTAACTAAGGCATCGCCCAAAGTCTCGCTGCAAAAGATGAAATGCGAAGCGAGAAAACTGCTCCGGAAAGTAAGAGCTCCCATGGCTCCTCCTATCAACTGAGTGGCCTGAAAAAAAATCCGAAATCAAGCTTCAATGTATCTAAAGTTGCCATGACTCCGCCCTTCATTATGATTATCACATTCTCAGCCCGATTTTATACTTTACCTCCCGGAGCGGTTTTCCCGCTTCTTATCTTTTGCGGAGAGACTTGGGCGATAAAGCAGTTGAGAGTCCCTCCATTATATGGCACCAAAATCTCATTATCGTCAATTTGGGTGGACGGCTTCTTCCAAAAACCATAGTCATTTACTGAAAGAAAGACTTCCGTTTTATCTGTCCACTGCGAATTTTTTGAGCATAATGTCAAACATTATTTTTAGAAAGGTGAGGACAGTATATATTTATAAAATCGTTAGCTCAGTTCAAAAATCTTCAAATAGCGGACCGCGGCGGGTCCTGGCGAACGCTCTTCCAAATAGCACTTTTAGATCACTGGTTCACTAGTATCGAAATCAAATTAGTATGCGCATTAGTGTACACGTACATCTTCAAAAATTGTGCCTTCAGATTGGGGTCAGTTTGGTAATGTCTAGCAGGTCTGACGGTTAGTGTGTGGTCCTACGTTGATAACAAGATTTGTTTGTAGGCAAATGCCATGCTAATGCCTTTCAAAAATTTGCTTGCTGCTTGCGCGTTAAAATCGGTATGAAAGCCGTTGTTTACTCACAAATATTGTTGACAAAGCAAGAGATCTGTATTAATTATCACTACTGGCAAGATTTCGTCCAAGTTCATAATCGCTGCAAATATTGCCCCTCTTGAGTCGGATAAAGCAGGTCAAATTTTACTTGCGATCGGCAGCTTAGTGATATCTACCATTGTAAGATCCGTAGCTGAACAAGAAAAGCTCACTCTTTGGAAGCAAGCCTTAAGGACCCTCGACAGCTTCCCAAATGGGTGGTAAAATTGAATTTTTGAATTCTATGAATTCAAATTCAAATTTTCGAATTTTCTGAATTCGGAATTATTTTGGACTGTGAAGTTGAGAATGCTCACGGCACGACGAAAGACGAAAAAGAAGCTTTATGAAAAATTTATTCTCCATTAGCTTGCGGACGGAGCGCTTTCGATGCCGTGCGGCCCGCGCGCATTCATCGTTCGGCCCGCGCGCATTTACCGTTCGGCCCGCGCGCATTCACCGTTCGGCCCCCTCGCACTACAAGGCGCCGCACGGGGAGCACGCGCGCGCCGCACGGACCGAATGTCAGAGTTGGCTGGTTTCATACTTATCCGTAAGTTCGGGGACTGCTCGGGTAATTACGGATCGTACGAACCCATCCATTACAAAACTGCTATGTGGAAAACAGCATTTCCACGGGATTAGGGTCCAATTCGTTTTTTTTTGCGCGAGACAGAGATAGTATGTTGAATGCAAATTGATACAGGGTGCGCTACAGGATGGCAAGTGCCATTTTTCCTTGCTATATGAGTCGCTTTATTGGGCCGGACTTGGCAAAGCGGAATGAAAACCATTTTTTCTTTAAAATGTGCAAAGACATTTGCACATTGAGTTATACTGTAGAGCGAATTCGAACCTTGAGGTCCTATTGCTAGAGCGAATCAGTTTCGATTGTAGATACAGTGTGAAATTTTCATAGAGTCCCAACTAAGTGCATGATTTAGGTGCAGTATTACTGACAAGACCAAAGCGCCGCTACGCGGCGCTTTGGTCTTGTAAGTGGATAAAATGTACAATTCATAAGCTATCATCTTGGCGCTTTCAGCTATCGTCGAGTCATTCGTAACTTAATCTGAGTGATGCACACTTTACGCGTTATGTGACGAACGACAAAACTAGTACCTGCTCATTTCCAGTAATTTCTTCTTGTTTCCTAGTCTCTTTTGTTTTGTCAGTTATATATTATTCAATAGAACACATTTCTACACTTTATTAGGCTAGAAAATGATTCACGGGAAAGTTACTAGCATGGGTGCCGTCGTTAATATGGCTTAGTGTGCATTCTCACATATTAAGTTACAAATGACTCGAGGTTATGTATTCCAAATTTCAGCTTATCCAGCATTATTCAGACAATGTACGAAGACATATGTACGGTTCATGCTAATTTGATATAGAATAACCTGACCGGCAAAGTTTTTGAGAAATGAGGTTTTTTCTTAAAGGTTACACCCGTGAATCGATTCACTATTACTAAAGCAGCAACTTTGAAGTCAAAATCTGTAGTTTGATCTACTTTGTAAACTGTAAGACCACTCTCTTTTGCAAAATTTGCACAATCGCTCATGTAAAAATACCTTGGAGTTTACAACACAATCAAAGCAAAATTCATGAATAATCGGCTATCGCTAGACTATGCAAATTCAGTGCCTAGTAGCGGAATGGAGTACATGATACGTAACTCGTAACATTTGAAGATAAGAGTGAGATCGATGAGTATATGCATATGCAAGGTTAATAGTTATTAATAACTATAGTGTATTCAGCATATGAGTAGTATGATATATAGGTAATGACGTAAGATAGATGAATGTATAGTGATATGCGAGTAACGCTAATTGTTATCAAATTTTGGTTGTGACACGTAAGAAAACAAAACAAAGCTATCAAGATCGTCAAGATTGTTGAGGATTTCAATATGTGGATAATTGGTGTTAGTCTGTTAGATACTTAATTCATGGCTACAACTTGAGAACTGCCTTGATGACCACATTTTTCACCCGTTCCTGTGCCTTCTGCACTTTGAGACCTTGTTTTCTTCGAGCTCGCGATAAAGCCACATAAAGTTGTCCATGCGAGAACACCTCCGTATCGAGAAAAATACCCACGTTCGTCAAACTCTGCCCTTGCGCTTTATTTATTGTCATTGCAAACGACAAACGGACGGGGAACTGTCTCCTTCGCAATCGAAATGGAACCCCTTTGTCAGTATAATTATCTATGCGTGGGATTGGCACGAAATCTCCCTTTCGATCACCTGATGCAAACCTGCAACCTAGAACGAAATGGCCGCAATGCGCGACTATCAATCTAGTACCATTGCAAAGACCATTCCGAACGTCTAGATTCCGCAGAAGCATAATTATCGACCCTTCTTTCAATCTAAGCTTGTGTGGAGGTAGTCCAGCTGGAGCTAGGCTATTCAAAAATTCAGTGCTATATTGGTTTGTTTCTGCCTCATCACTCATCACATCATCAGCACTTATGTATTCGCGCAGTTGGCCTGGAAGTTTGTCTAACGCTTCTTCATTAATTCTATATGCCTCAAGGTTTCTCGGCGCCAGTATCGCACGTTCGCTTAATGTTTCAAAGTCTGTAAGGAGGTCTCCAAACACCTCGTCAATAAGATTGCCAACATACTGCAATACCGCGAAGCAAAAATTTTTTACAACACATTCAAAAATTTTCATCGTGCTTCGTATAAATCTCTTGGCTAGACAAAATGCTGTGTACAGATAGTTCGAAAATGAACACGAATAGTCTTATGCGACGCCTTTGACACGGAAACAGTGTTTAGAGTTGAGACAGTGATTGAAACTAAACAGATCTCAGAGTGCAGCAAGGTCGATAGATTTTAGAAGATCAAAACAATTTCTGCATTTCTGTGCAACAACGAATTTGACTTATAAACAATGTTTGAAGGTAACGATATAAGAACGAAGAAGGCTTGAAAGCAAAGCCAGCAGTTCTTGAGATAGCTATTGATCCCCTAAATTGTTTTACCATTTTTTTTTTGATATGAAGACACTGCTGGAGCAATGAATTAAGCGCAAAGAAGAGAAAACTCATAGAGGGAGAGAGAAAAAGACCGATTTCCGCGTATCTAGCGCTCAAAGCTACCAATAAGCATGGAGGGAAGAACTTTCAGAATGTAAATTCGATGATAATAGAAGTGATAGAGCAACCATTGGGACAGGAAGAGATTTGGGATAGACTTCAAAAGATGCAACAGTAATGGTGGATAGAGAGTGTTGGGATGAATACCACTTTGACTTTGGGTACGGTTGATGAGTGAAGTGAACCTAACATGAAAGGCGACCGAAGCATACGTAATGCAAGGTGGTGTCTATGTGATGCACAGTTTTGGAGGCAAAAGGTTGCTTATTTGGCTTTGCGACGTCTGAGTTCTTTTGTTTTTGACTTTTTTGTGAAATTGACCTTTCAAAGAAAGTTCCAGAACTGTCTGGCGCTCTCTGAACCCTAAAAGATTGTAAACATGCCCCGGCGGTGTTGAATCGTTCAATGGATTGAATTGCGACGAATTCCTTTGTTTTCGACTTTTTTGTGAAATTGACCTTTCAAAGAAAGTTCCAGAACTGTCTGGTGCTCTCTGGACCTTAAGGGGTTGTAAACATGCTCGCCGGCAGTGACGATGTC